CACCAGCAGCAATTTACACAACTTCAGTCACCAGGAATCTGTTCCATATGTGCTTTCTGAACTATAGGTTGTCAGGTTTCCCTCTAAATGAAGCTCAATATGGCAGCGAGTGGACAGACTGGCACCACGTCTCTGAATGTTTGAATCACTCAGGGAGGCATTACTCATACAGTTTAGGTTTTGTAACACACGGTGCTTAAAATAACTGCATTTTGAAGTAGATGTTCTTTGGGATTACTGCAGTTTGTATAATTTCCTGTAGATCGGATAAGATTCACAGCGTGCCGTTAATGGACACTAGTTTCCAGGGTTACTCTGCTCACGTCTTCACAAAGGTAAAACAGATTGTGGATGATGGTGAAATGATCCAGGAATATCTCTGAATACAAAATCTAAATATATATATATATATGAGCATTTGTGCTGAAACCACTTTGATAATTGATATTTAAGTCATTTTTTCAAGCAAAAATGCCCAATATTCCCTGGTTCCAACATCTTAAATGTAAATGTTTGATGGTTTTATTTGTCCCGTATTGTAGTAAAGTGAATATCTTCCGGTTTTGGACTGTTAATTAAACAAAATGATGCATTTGAAGATGTTATCTTGGGCTCTGGAACAATTGTGACGGATGTTTTTCACTCATTTCTGGCGTTTTATTGACAGTTAATCAAGAAAATAGTTGATTGGCAGAGGTCTTGTATCATTTACTTCTGGTAGGTACACCAAGTGCAACAAAAGACCTATAGTACTCACCACATACTGTAGTATACCATAGTATTCTAGCACATAGTGTTAGCAGGGAGGCAGAGCAGCAGGCAAATGGGCAGCAACACAAATCCATACATGTGTGCAGCTCACACAGCAAGACAAATGGCGAGGCTCAGCGGGAGGACAGAGACAGACCGGCAAAGGGTTTATGCAGACGCAGGCACACAGGCATGTAAACCTAGGAACAGTGCAAGGCACATACAGGAAGACAGAAAGACACGGTGGAAAGACAGGTTAGTGTAAGGGGGAGCTGGAAGACTTAATAAAGGTCATAATTCTCTCTGACTGTGTGGGCTTGGCTGCTCTAACAACCAACCTTTGGGATTAATAAAATGCTCCTTCCATCCATCAACGTCGAGCAGTTTTAGAAATGTGTGTAAACTAACCGCAAATGTAATGTAAGAAATGTTTCATTAGGAGGCGTAAAAACAGGGCTGGCAGTAATTTTAGTGTTATTTTAAACACATCACTGCACTTTCTCACAGTGAGTCTGACCCACATGCACAGACTCTCAGATTAATTCAGAATAACAAGCAGGAATATCCTCTAACAAACATAATGAAATGAAAATCCCACTACTCTGACTTCCTGGACAACAGTGTTATCCTTAGTGTTACCTCACTGTGTACCAGTATAAAAACACAAATTAAACCAAGCCAATAAAACTGTCACAGACATGTTTGTCTCCCTCACATCCCGCTTTAACGCCAGATTAAAGGGAGAAAAATGCACTCAAAATACTGTTAGCTGCAACTCTAAATACATTTTTTTATTGGCTTTATCATTAGCAATAGCAAGTAACATTCAGTTTTAATGTGTATTAAATAAACCATGAACAGACACAAGCCTGTACGTCTGTGTTTGTGTGCACACATTAACAATTGTATTGTCTTTTATTTTTTATTGAATTAATGCGCTTATCGCCTCCAAAAGCCAGTGGAAGTTCAGCTGTTTGTCAGCAGGGGTTTCTTAATTACAACATCTGAGGAAGCGGGTTGGAAGAAGCCCCCCCCCCCCCCCGAGGGTGGAGATACACTGATGTGAAGCAAGGCTGTCAGGGCAGCAGAGCACCCAGAACTTTCCAGCAGAGAGAGGACCGGGCTATTTAGGTTACTGTGATTCAGGAAATAGTTCCCGTCAACTCCTCAACCCCCCGGAATCAGAACATCCTGTTCTCATAGATTTTTCTCCTCCACTTACTCAGATCTTCCTGTTTTTGGAAACAAAAACGCCCTTTTTCTGTTGTTTACTACTCGATAATTATTCTCATTTTTTATAATCAGCCTCTGTTTGTCTTTGAAACTGCAGCTTCTGTCAGCTGCAGGTAACGCTGTTGCTCCAGTGACGTAGGATTAGAAATACAAAAGTTTCTTTCACAGACGGGAGATAACAGACAGAGACGGCCTTTGCTTATCATTGCAGGTCATCGTTAGACCTTAATGTCTTTCACGTACTATCTGATAACAACCGGCCACTGACAATCATGATGGAGGATCTTCCCTGAACAGTCTGGAAAACGTGAAACATAAAACCTTCCATAGCTCCTCGATAGTGTTTCTGAATTCCCAGCCACTTAAAGTTAATTGTTGATAAGATATAATGCACGTTTTTCCAAACCGCTCCTCTTTATCCAGCTTCATAAACACGTAATAACGCCGATGAGGCCCGTGTTGTGTGTCAGAATGACAAATAGTACAGAAAATATCATTTTGTGATCTTGGATCTTTTAATTTTCTGGCTTCACAGTAAAAAAAAAAAAAAAACCCCAGCACTGCTCCCCTGTTACAAAGCATTTCCATAAAGCACATGCAGAGAGGGTGTGATGAGTATCAGCAGCAGTTTGATGCATCATAACGATCGTACCACAACAAATAGATGGAGCTTAACAGAAGACTATATTTAATGTGATATGGTGATGTTTGGCTGATTAAGGTCATTACCAGAGGGCTGATAGAGAGCTGATTGGATGGCTGCATCCCTAAACCTGATAATATGATGTTAATGTGATGATTTGTCCAGTAATGTTGGTTGTAGATTCTTAATCTAATAGCAGGATACTTCTCAAATAACCAAGAACTGTTTCCATTATTATTAAATCTATTGATTAATAAATGTTACCCGAGCCCGAAGAGATGTCTGTGAATTATTAAATGTGTCTTATCAATGTATTAAATGTATGATATGAAATAAAATGAAGAAACCCTGGGCTGTAACAGTGTACACACACACACATATTACAGTTATTACAGGAGCCAAAGTACGTATATTAGTAAGAAAACATCAATATCGGGTTGTGAGATTTTTTTTTCCTCGGCCCTTCCCATTTCTGTAGCTGCAGGCCTCATTCTGTAAACAACACACACACACACACACACACACACACACACACACACATCTGTGGTCTCCCTTTCCTCTGTCCTTCTGTCAGATGACTCCATATGGCAGCTGTCATGTCGCCTGCTCTCTTTTTATCAAAGTCAGATCACGGCTGCTCCCATCTCCTGTGTCAGCTGATGTTTTTTTTTTTATATATATATATATATGGGTCTCTCTCTCTTGCTCGCTCTCTCTCTCTCTCTGTGTGTGTGTGTGTGTGTGTGGAAGGGACTAGTTTATGTGCTATACATCCCTCAGTAAAGCAGAATTTCATGTTTAACCAAGCATTAAAGAAGCTGTACTGATATTATATGAAATTACCTCCCAGCCTAAATCACAGTATTCCTCATAACAGACTTCCTATGTGCTCAAATTATCATCTGCTGTGTGTGTGTGTGTGTGTGTGTGTGTGTGTGTGTGTGTGTGTGTGTGTGTGTGTGTGTGTGTGTGTGTGGATTCAAAACAGGAAGTGACCCAGCTAAAATGTCTGAGTGAATTCTAAAGCAGCATTAAATTGTTGCTCTCGTGCACCTGCTTGGCTTTCTGTGGAGTAAGGCGTCACAGAGCAGCTGCTCCCAGAAACCCGAATGAGCAATGTGCATTTTACTACTTAAAGTGCCGGAGTTAAACGGTTCTCTTGCATCCTCACACAGCGGAGGTGGTCTGTATGGTACACAAAGGGCTCACTTTACACATTTTACTTTGAGTAAACTGTGCTGTTGTGTTTGGTAGTTGTCAATAATGGATGTTTAAATGTTAGTTAAGTGCTGTGAAAATCTAATGTGACATTTTGCAGATCCTCTTTAAAAGTCAGAAACAACCCGAGTACTGTAGTAATTCATGTTGTGAACAAGAATGGGAAGTAAGTCGAATGAAAGGTTGCGACTGTTTACAGCAACATATTTGTGTTTTTATTCTCTGGTAGTTTAGCTCAGGTAACACAAAAAAACCCCACTGACATACCGTGTGTTAAACATATCTTATTAACATATTAATAATGCGTAATCCCTAGCAAATACTTTAATGTTAACAACATATCAGATATCTACGACGGAGTATTAGGGCCAGATTGTGAGAATAAAGTCGTAACATTACGAGAATAAAGTAGTAATTTTATGAGAAATGTCAGCCTGTTGGCTCAGCCAGCAAAACTGTTCCAAAACTATTTTTAAAATTTTTTTTTAAATGAACATTTTATTGATTCCATTCAGCATTCTCCCATTAGCATTTAACATCTCACACATATGTTTTCCATGTATACAGAGCATACAAACACTTCACAACAGGGATCAAACACATAAATATACAAATATTCACAATTAAACACAAAACTCAGTAGACTCGAAATTACTACATTTTTCATGACGATCCACATCTTCATTCCCCTCTTGTAAATACCTTTCTCACCTGGTGAAGGATAACGCCAAACACAATCTTATGAACATTGAACAGTCCAAAATTTGTAGCAAGAACGAAGAGGATCCATAAGATTAATTGTTTTTTGTTACAAAACTGTTTAACACCGAAATTATGAATACGTTAGTTTACCTGCTGACTGTACGGTTCTCATTAAATCGACTTTTTTTCTTTTATTATTATTACATTATTCTCATATTATTACGACTTTATTCTCGTAATATAATGACTTTATTTTCCAAAATTGTATTTATTTTTTTATCTTTTTATTTTTCCTCTTAGTATGGCCCTAATACTCCATACTAGATATCAGTTCAGCGTTCAGTTGCGGTTTAACATTCAGATTCTTTGTTAAACCTTTACATGAACGTCACCAACAACAGCTGACTCAATGCATCCTCACAAACTCTCTGCATGCTGTGCTCTTCTCTTGCAGTGTGAACACGTGGATGTGAACCTGTGAGGGGAAAAAACAAAAAGACTTGAAGAAAGCAGAGAAAAGGTGGATCTCAAGAGGACTGTCCCTGGACCACATGGAGGTTTTCTGGGGGATTTTCTCAGCTTCTTTCAAAGTTGAGGCTCCTCAATAACTATTCCTGCTCCTTTTCCACTATTTTTACTTTATTGTTGTTGTCGGGGTTGAAGGTCACGGACCTCTTCCCTCCTCGTCTGCTCTGTTTTGTTCTAAGCGAGACCAAAACCAGGTGCCAAACTGACTGTGTCAAGAGAAGAAGCAAAAAAAATCTATGAAAATAACCGCCACCAAATCATCATAAGAAGAGTTCATTTAGTCATTTATCTTTGAAAAAGCCTGATTTGTAACTAGAGCACAGCTTTATTTCAACCCACAAACGCATTAAGACATCCATTAAAGTCGTATTTAATCTCAGCACATTCATCACAGCATATTGAAGAGATATTTTACAAAACAGATCAACCGTGAAAACTTAATATCCGTCGTCTTCGGTCAGTGTTTGCATATAGTTGCTGCTCTTAATCCTGAAACGGAGATTTCTTACACGAGGACGATGATTAGTGCATTATTGGTTCAAAGTGCTTTACAAACAGATCCTCCAGCTGATGGTCGGCTTGTGTGTCACACAGGAGGCGCGTGGTGAGCAGTGATAACTCGCCGCCGCGCTCTGACGCCGTCCAAACACTTTAAGGCTTCGGCAGGGCGGCGTTTTTGACTGATAAATACAGGCACCGCCACCGCCGCTCCTGCTGCTGCTGCTGCTATCTCAAACGCTTGGAGATATATACCGCCGTCTCAGTCTGCGCTGTGAAACACTGTTGACACTTTGCCTATCTCCTTCTTCCAGTCGCTTATATACGAGAGAAGCCTCTCACTCTTTGTCGTCTTCTGTTTCTTCCACGTTTGGCGCTCGATTACGCCACGCTGAAAAAACCTGAAAACCCCCCCCACCACCACCCTCCCTTTATCTAATCCCAGTGACCTCTTCAAACTTTTTTTGCATTCTTCCTTTTATTCTACGAGAAACATGCAATTTAAAACCTTTCACTGTATTTACATTTTTTGTGGAAGGAGTTCAAGTTTGTAAAAAAAAAAACTTAAAAAAGGGAAACAAAAGGACATAACCTTTAAGCCATACTGAACACCAGCCATACAGATACCTTTCACATTTACAGAACACCTCACAATGTTTAAGACTTCTTCAACAAAGTGATCCTCAAACACATCCGTGCACATACGCGTTCAGGGAGCTAACTGAGAAGAACCCTAAGTTTCATACATTTGGATGAAAGAACAGCTTTGTAACTCGTTTTTTTCTACCTGTGTCTTTCTGAGTGCACTAAATCTGTGAGCGGACCAGGTGCAGCGTTAAGCCGTGGCAGTGAAGGTGAACCCCCCCCCAGCAGAGTTCCCGCCGTCGTCCCCCCGTTGTTCCTCTGTGTTGACGGATGAATCCGGACATTTTCATGTCTGTTCTGTGGGCAGAACCTCGCTGCCCTGCTAGAACCGGGCCCAAGCCCTCCTTCGTTCTCTTCTGTTGGGCCAAGCTAAATTCAGAGCAAAGACACTCACACAAGGGTATCGAACGCACATAGAGCCTCCCGTTTTTTAAAAAGAAAATCTTTTCTTTGTGTAATTTTGTTTCTCGCTATTGATCACTCTTTTGTGAATGCCTTGACATGCTCATCTATTGAACTGATCTCTGTCCTCTGGTAGCTGCTGGAAGGACTTTTCTTAAAGATCTGATGCTGCTCAGTGCTTTCATTTAGCAGCACCTTTATTCGTCGAACTCACCGTCCACTCAGTCACTGTTCTGCTATAATTTAAACCAAAATTTACACGCATATTGACCTTTACTGATTCTCTTCCTCCCAAACTGTTTTGAAAAGGAAGAGCTTGTTTATTGGCAAAAATTTGTGAGCATGGTGTAAAAGGAATACAAATTTTAAGCCACAGCTTGTGCCAAATTCAGAGTGACTTCCTCTCAGCTGGTTCACTAAACAAAGCTGAGATCTCCAAAGCTGCCAGCACTGTTGTTTACAGACACGAGACACACAGAGCTTGAATATTTGATTTGATTAATTATTTTTCCATGTATGATTTGTACACATCAGTTATCCACAGGACAACAGAAGTGCCAAACACAAACCAGAATACACGTGACATCCGTTCAAGCTCATCAAACGTGAAAGATAAAGTTTACATACAGCGCTAAATGTTTACAGACTACATTTTCCATCGCAAGTTTTTCTTACGTGAATCGTAACTTTCGTGCCATAAAACGACTCCCGGAGAACTCTTCAGTAGGAGGAGTCATTATATTAAACTAGTTTACATTTTGTTTACAGGAAATGTAAAAAAAAATAAAATAATTTACTGCCTATTTTAAAAGATTTTGAATTTTGGCCAGTGGACTGTAAACCGACAGACCAAATTTAAATATCCGACACCCGCTGCCATAAAACAAACCTACATTATTCTATATTTATAATCAGTTGGAGTTTTCATTTAAATTGATTATTTAAGAACAGGCAGTTTGTATAGGGCCTAAAAACTCTGAAAGACCTCAATGTTTACAAAAGCTGCTTAAGGGAAGGATTTGTACACAGAGAGAAATGTTTACATTAAGCTGAAAGAGTGAAATGCCAAACACATTCATGATACATTAGCTTGAACAAAGTGAATCTGCTCGACTCCAAGAGAAACCCTGCGCTCCTGTGCTGTGTGCGTGCACAACAACGAGGGATTAGTGCATCTGACTGGAGTTAAAACTTTTTTTATATAAGTCAAGAAGCCGCCACCTTGGAAGAGGACGCTGATAAGTCACAGCGCATTAGGAGCTGTTAATGTGAATTCATTTCTTTTTTTAAACGACGGCTCAAGAACTTTGTGATAAAACAATGAAATCATCAATTTCAAGAGGGATGTTTTGCTTGTCCCTCGCTCTCCTGCTTTTCTCCTGCCTGGCTGTTTCCACGGTAACCATCACCACCGAGCGACGCGCTGTCGATGGCGACGTCAGGACTCTGACCAGCAGCAGTGGCTCCGCTGCGGCTGGTAAAAGGAGCACCACCATGTTCCTCCTGACCGGCTACAAGCGGCCGCTGCCCCCGCTGCCCGCCGGACCCAAAGTGGCGCCGAAAGCAGCCGAGGTGGAGGACGGAGATGATCCACCAGCGGTGGCCGAACTCCCTCCGAAGCCCCTCCCTCAGACCATGTTGCCAAGGAACATGACGGCCGACGCCCTGAAGCCTCCGCTCGGTGCGGCTCAGGTGGCTCCACCTCCCAGACAGCTGGTGGATGTGGACGTGTGCAGGTACGGCCAGAACCAAACTGTTTCCTGTGGCGTGGTGTGATTTCTTTATTGATCAAATTATCAGTGAATCTGTGTTTATTCTCGGTAGTAAAAGGCAGATGATCACATGAAATACATAATAAAACAAGAACAGTTTCACATAAAACTGTAATAAAAACAGGATCAGTGTCCTCCCACAGCACACAAGAGGACATAAAACAGATCTGCTCCCTCAAGAAAAACGGGTTGGTTAAAGATCTGTAAGAAAACAAAACTGATGAGCCTTAGGTGTGTTGTATAAAGTCAGCTCAGTTAACGGTTGCAGACGTTCGGTTCCCTTCAGAGGGGCTCAATCTGCTTTATAGCACACATTTATTTCCATCCGTACGCTGCGTTGAGCACACTGGAAGCCCATAAAGAACGAGGCGCATCATGATTCTTTTCCTCCCGCAGCTCTGATCTCGATCTCACTGAAGCTTATATTTTTTGCACTGAGAGGCGTCTTGCTGTTGCTAGGCAACATGTAATCAGCTCTAAATCAGTTGTGTGCAGGCGAGCTACACACCACAACTATCAACAGCAGCTACGTTCAGGCAATCCAATGCAGCACTAACAGATTTCAAACTTACATAAAGCTCCAAACATACACGTTTCGCTTTTTTCCAAACCTGATGTTTCTTTTTAATGACTTTGTCATTTCTGTCTGTGAGGTTACGTCATAGCTCTGGCTGCTCGGCAACAAGAACCATTAGACCTGTCCTCTATTTCTGGTGTTGATTGTTGGTGGTTCTTCCTGTTGAGAGAAATAGACACGATGAGCATTCATTGGCTCGGAGTTGACCTCTTTCAACCCGAGGTGCTCAGAGTGCTCCTCCAACAACACGAGACAAACGGGCTGAATGAAACACAAGGCTGCTGCCTCAGCCTGGCAGTCATTAGCGTGGATGACACCATGCCGTCATCTATAGGAGTCCATTCCCACTGGTGCCAGCCAAAGTGCTTTAGAGCCTTATGGAGGAGTGCTATGTAGAATTCATCAAGGTCAGATAGTAATGGACCTGGAAAAAAAGATGGCCATGAAAAAGAGTGCACATTAGCTCATTGGAAAACCGCCTCCGAAAAAGTACTAGCATGTTGGTAGATACTGGATCAATAAGGCTTCAAGGTCCAGTGTGTAACATTCAGGAAGATCTACTGGCAGAACTGGAATATAATATAAATAATGATGTTTTTATTCGTGTACAATCACTGTTACCTTTGAGTCTTTTACATCTACAGACATCATGGGTCATCGTGTTAAACTGCTGTTTCTACAGTAGTTGCTTGGAAGGGGAGGGTGAAGTGAGGGAGTTGCAATATCAAGATACACCGCTTAATGCCTCTAAATCCCACACACTGGTCTTTTTTAAATGTCTACTGACAGAAACTAAATGTTTCAAGTGGCGTAGTTGAAGTTGGAGAGACTTGAAACACTGTGTCACAGGTGACCAATGTCTTTGGTACCGACGTTGTTCCACAGGGGTTACTACGACGTGATGGGGCACTTTGACAGCACGTTCAACTGCTCCAAGGGCAGCTACATCTACTGCTGCGGTACCTGCCACTACCGGTTCTGCTGCGAGCACCAGAGGAGCCGGTTGGACCAGGAGTCCTGCAACAACTACAACTCCCCCGTCTGGGCCGACCCACAGGTCCCCGTCACCGTGCCCGTGGGCAACAAGCCCGACCCGGACTTTGAGACGCTCCAGCAGCAGAACAGCAGGTCAGAACCTGGACTCGTTTGTGACTGCTAGCAGAGATTAAAGCCATTTGAGGAGCAGCACAGAATTGTATCATTATCTTATTAACGCATAAAACTACCTAAAATAATGACGTATACATTTTTGATTCCCTGCTGTACACCCTATGTCAACAACATCTTCATTCGTTTTCCTCTACAGTACGGCCTACGTGATCGGAGGGGTGATCTCCTTCACGCTGGTGGTGGCGGTGGGCGTCAGGATCGCCTTCAGCAAGGTGGCGCGCCGACCCCGCAACAGGGACATCAACATGCCCAGGTGAGAGCACAGGAAAAGGTCTGCAGGGCTTCCTGACTGTCAGTGATTTAGACAGAACGGAGAACATCAGCACACAGAGAGTGGAGAATATCAGACAGGAACCAACGCTGAGAGGAGAAGCTCGGTGGGCAGTGTTTTTGTTCGAACCAAGACAATATCAAGCTGTCCAGGGAACTGTTACATTGCTGGCTTTATCTGTCTGTTATGTAACACCATTTAGGCTTGCAAACTTAGATCTCTATTACACAAATGACTCTTCTTAAAATGAGACTGGACTAAGAGTAGTGTATCATTCAAATATGTGTGCGTGTCTGAAAAGGGTCGGTCTCTTTTACTTTTCTTTTGATACTCTTTTCTTTAACAAATAGTTCCAGACCTTGTAAACAAAAGTCACATGACTCACATACAGCTTGTTAGTGGCTGCAGGGTTAGTCAGAAATATTTGATTCTAGTCTTTCTAACTTCAGAGACTTGAGAGTGTGCATACGGAAGAATAATGTCTAGACTGTGTGGATATTAGCAGGCAAGAAGGGAATTTCAAGAAATCTTAGATCCATGAATTCGAGGAAATGGAAGTGGCAGCTGTCTGGAGTATTGACGATTAGATCCGTCGGCCTCTGAGAGATCTGAAGGATTGATATGAATCAACAAAAGATAAAGGACAAGTTCAGAAACAACGCAGTCTGGGGTTTAGGAGCTGGCTGAATGTTTGTTTCCTCCACATTCATATTCATTGTCTCTGTCTGACCTTTTGTCTCTTCCTCTTTACCCTCTCCTTTCTCCTCCTGCTGCTCCCATCTCCCCCTCCACCCACTGCTGCGTCAGATCACTGGTGGATATCTTACGTCACCAGTCGAGCCCGGTGCAGCCGGGAGAGAGGAACAACACCACGCTGTTGAGCGCCACCACCTCAGACGGACGAACATCCAAAAACCTCTACACCCCCGTCCTGCAGAGCAAAGACAACCGCAGTAAGTGACGAGAACCTCGACCTTAAAAACTCACACGTTCATCAGGGAGGAAAAAACACAAAGGATTCAGTCATATTCAGGTGAAATGAATGTTTGAATCCAGCCAGCTTGTCGTGTCCCCCGGTGACATGGACTCAATCTCGATATCAGTAACACACATCACACTTCAGGTGGAACACATTTGTTGTGAGTTGTTGCCAGACGCTGCTATTTAGAGAAGTTAAAAGATAATCTCAGTGGGCCAGAAATAATATCTAATAATCCTTTTAGTTGCTTATAATGTGGATTCACCTTTTATTTATTCTGTGTGTAGAAGAACATCTAAATCTAACCACATATGTGATGTATTGTGCCAATAAAAACCCACTTACAACTCTTCATTCATGAGCAGAGTTCAGTCTTGTTTGTGGTTGTTAGTTTTTTGGGCACACTATAAAACTGGACGTTCAGCTAGTCATAGCTTAGCACACTGAGCATGGCACTCTCACTGAACCCCCCCGAGGACCTAAATCTTAACACTGACATTTGCAGCGTTTCTTAAAGTTGTGTCTTGGCCAGAAAAAAAGAGAGTCTGCATATCTGTTAGTTCCTATTTAAATGCTGAAACCAGGAATCTTGCAGTTTTTTTTAAAACGTTTGCCATCTCAGGTTTTGACAGTATTTGTTTTGTTTTTTTTTTTTTTTTTTTAATTGCAGTTAGAACAACGGAGCTAAATCAAGCAACGTGTGCTTAAAAGGTTTTGGCACTTCTTTGAGAGGTAATTGTGGCTTTGGCAGTCAAAGACAAATTCAACAAGTCTGTATTTAATTAGTAGTTTTCCTCATTCTGGTGCACCTCTGGCTGCCCACACCAGCTCTCTGCTGTTTCTCTCATTAACAGTTTACAGTGGGAAGGATTTCTCTGGTTACATTTGACAAACATTTTCCCTTTGAGTGGTGGACATCAGACTGTTTTGAATGTGTTTGTTTTCTTGTACAGTAACAATTCATGCACTGACAGCCTAAACACAAAAACAGAACACACATTTCTCTCTCTTTACTGCTCTGTCTCTCTCTTTACTGCTGCTCTGTCGCTCTGCCACTGTCTCTCACTTCTCACATAACAAGCTCTCTTGTTTCTCCAGGATTTGCTGAGTTGTTTCGTGACTTCGCAGAACTTTTATGCTTTTTTAACAAGATGAAATTCAACTCAAGGAAAATGTGGCACTTCGGTACAAATAAAAAGATCCCAAAAAGTTAGTTTTTTTGTGTATAACTATGATTTATTTTTAACATGGACTGACTTCAACAAAAGTGTCCAGGTTTGTTTAAGGTATTCTGTGTTGTTATTTAATGCAAACGAACAACAAACAGGTTAAATGAACCACAGAGTTCAGTACAGTTGAGTATTTTAAGCTTCTAATGGAGAATAAAACTACATCTCTTTGTCTTTCATCTTTTGGAAGACATGAATAGAACACGCTGCATTGTGTTAATCTGCAGTTTAATTTATTGTAAAGCAAAATTATCAAAGAAAAAAAGATTCCTGGAGGGACTGTCTTTCCCTCTCCTGTCTCTATCTGTCTGTCCCTCTCTGTCCTCTCTCTCTCTCTCTCTCTATTGACACAAATGCTTACTCGACACATGGCTCTTGTGTCTCTGGAGTGGTTGTCCATCAGTTTGTCGGCTCTGCTCTCTTCGCAGCTGGGACTTTGCACCACCATTTTAACCAGCAGGGGTCTGCTTCCAGCCCCAAACACTCTGCTACCATCGGTAAGCCTCGTGGTTAGCAGCACAGTCCAGCGCGGGCGGCGACGAGCCGCCGGCCCGGATTCACGGCCTCACTACCACACTTGTCTGTCTGTCTTGTTGTCAGTATGACGGCCTGTTGTCCTGCACTCTTAAAGCGGCTTTGCCATTCTCAACACTGCCCCGTGGCAACACACATATTTGTGGTTTAAAACATCTACGTGTGTTTGTATTGACGCACATTGGTTGTGTTGAGAGTGACACATCTTTCATAAGAGTGTGAGCTAAAAGTTGTCTGGCCTGCCCTCTGCTTAATGCAAGCCTGTCTGCCCCCCCCACCCACCCACCCACTACCACCACAAGCCTGCTTCCAAATGTGCTTCTTCTTCTTCTTTCTGTGTAGCAGTGATGTGCAACTGTGCTTACAGCTGATTACCGGGGGTCTTGGCTTAAGCGAGGTCACTGCACTTACCTGAGTGTGTTTTCCCAGGCTTTGCACCAAGAAAACAAAAAAGCAATGCTAGCACAAATGATTTATCTCCCCCAGAAATTTGGAAATAAATAATAACTGTCACTATAAATCAAACCATTGTTTCTGAAGGCTCATTTTGGTGCACCTAACATGGCCGCCACAGAATACTGGATGAGGTTGCCGTGGAAATATGACGAGGACGAAGAGGACAAGACGATGATTTTCACTGAACTTATAAAGTCGTTTCAGTGGCAGTTATTCCGAGCCATTACACCCACATGTGTCCCTAGGGGAATGAATTACACAAGCCGGCAGATTAAACCAAAGTTTAGTTTTAAAGTGTGCTGTAAGCAAAAGACTGTCAGCAGGTCGGTTACTGATGTTAACCAGCAAGTCAAAGTCCAAACTAATGATTAAGTGTTAGTTATTGCTGGAAATTCAATCTTAGAAGCACCACTTTGCTATATTAACTAAAAATACACATTTATATGGGAGGATTGATGATTTATTTATGACATTTTTTGTATAATTCTTCAGTAAATGTGCATAATAACACCGCCGATGATTCTCGTTCACTCATTGGCCAATTCATTCGTGAAAGTGAGATTTGGAAACTCTCCGATCGGTTCCTTTTGGCATTCTTTAGTTTTGTCCTCACTCTTCCTGTGTTAGATAAGGTTAACGGCCTCCTGGGAGGATACAAGAACAGAACACTTCAGCTCTCTGAGTCAGATACTCTGCACACATTGGACAAAGTTCATTTTTCCATGACACCATTATCAAACCTCTCTGTCAGCCATCGTAGGTGTTCCAAATAAAATCAATTACCTTGCACTCTTGGAAATGACCGGGCTAATTCTGTGTGGTGGCACAAAAAAAAAAAAAAAGCTCAGTATTTGATTAGATTTTCGACAGCCTTTTCCTCGTGCTCACTTTATGCTTTATAAACCATATGATCTCAGAGCTAGCATTGCTTTTTATCCCACCGTGTGTGCGTAACATGCACGGTACAGAAGTTTAATGTGGTGTGTGTTCCCTGGGTGACGCTTAACAGAGACATTATTGCCCATTACTGTCAATGGTCAATGACCAGATATGTCCAGCAGTAATCTTAACAAGATCGCAGCCCATAACCATTACCACCCTGAATGGACTCGCCATCGATTGTGTCCGTCCTCAAAGACAGGAAACAACAGCAAATGGCCAATTGCATTCTCACATTTTCAAACCGTTTTGCTGACAGCCAGCAGTCAATGAAGTTTCTCCTGTTCTCTCTCTTTCTATAAATCCAGTAAGAACTCCTCGGTGGTTCCAGCGATGGGCGGCGTGCGTTTTGTTTCGATTTCAGATGTACCTTTTGTTGGATGTGAACTCATTGTCCCGGTTTAAATGTACAGAACCTACACATGTCAGGTCACGGGCTGAGTGCGCCTACATGTTTGGGTCATTAAAATTGCTGTTTTGGAAAATATGAATGTACTCATATACTGTATGATGTAACTGATATGAGTTTACATGTTGCAAAACAGACACCCCTGCCCCCTCCCCCATACTGTTAATCTTACATAAGACAAATCATTTTTTATGTGTATTGATCGATGTGCTGCTTTTGCACTTTGCATAATGTGACTGTGTGTGTATGTAGATTCCCCCCCACCCCCCACTCCCGTATGCTATCAGTGTATTTCTATGTATTTACATGTGGCTGTTTGTGTTAGAGCCTCAGATGAAAAGTACAGAGTTGTATTAATAGATGGTCGCCATGGAGCTCGAAGACACTTCCTGTGTTTACTGATCATTAACCAGCTTGTATCTTCTTCTCTTTTTCTTCCTTTTTGTCCATCTCTATTTCTGTCTTTTTATTCGTTTTCTCTTTTCCTTTTTCTCTATTTCTTAAATACTTCTGCCTCTTTGCTCTCTATTTGTCTTTATTTCTCTCTATTTTCTCCCTATTTTTCCTTTTTTCCATCCTCACCTCTACTCCTCCCTCCTGTTTTCATCCTCCATCTGTCTCATCTTTTCCTAATTGTCTGTTTCTTAAACTCTTTCTCCCACTGTATTTTTTAATTCCCTTCCTCATTTTTAATCTCCTGTCCCTCCTTCTCTTCCTCACATGCTTTTCTTCTCCTCCAACCTCCCTTTCTTCCCTCCTTTACCCCTTTTTCTCCTCCATTTTCCTCTCTGCCTCCCTCCCTCTCTCTGTCTCTCTCCAGAACGAGGACCCCGCATGAACAACACCTCCCAGCTGTCCTCCGGACCCACCCTGCTTTCGGGTAGTGGTAAAGGTCCCGGTGGCGTCGGCGTTGGTGGCGGCAGCATCATGGGAGGGGGCATGAGACACAACAGCAGCCACCCTTCCTTCTCCCACTCCTTCCACAACCTGGCCCAGCTGCCACCGTCCTACGAGCTGGCCATGAAACCGGAGATCAGCCGCTACAGCTCCTTGAAGAGGCTGGGTGAGCCGGGGGGGAGACTAAGGGATGTGGGGCAAAGGGGGAACAAGGGAGGTAAAGAGAGCGCGACAGAGGGAGGGGGACTGATTAATTATTCTGGACCACTGAGGGTTTTCATGTGGTGTACCACACTAGCTAGCAGCCATAATCAGTCCCTCCAGGATTTCGTGGCTTTTTTTGCGACCTAAAACATCTAATTTACGTTAATCGTTGTATAATAGAAGTGACGGGTTCTTGTGGCTAAACACAGTCGCTGATTACATTTATAAACTCGACTCAAAGGTATAAATTACATACATGTTTAATTTTGATCATGTGGCCATAAAATGTGACACATTGTGTGTTTTAAAGGAATTCTCCACCAAACATGTTTGAGCACCAAACACTGCCTGTAGCTTTGAAAGGCGGCTCTTGAGAAACTTGTAATTTACTCAGTGTGAATGATGGTAGCTGCAGTTCCAGTTCCAGTGGAGACCCAGGGTCACATTAAATATATATATCTGTATTACAGAACCTCAGGAATATTTCTTAACACTCTCTAATTAAAAAAAACATTAGATATGCTACTTCTGGTGGAGTTTTGGAACAATGAGCAGGTGATGTGAGTCATGTATTTTAGTTATGTTGTGGAAAAAGTGTTGATTACACTCATTTTTTCTCGATTGCAATCCATTATAATGGTGCAACTGTGACTATTAGATGAGACTTTTATTCTTCTGTAACACTGGATTCATGAGAGCATACCTGCCCTGTAAACACCCACATCCTTCAAGCTCTAATATAACCCTGATGACATCAATATGACGTTATTTATCGGACATTATAAGTACATGTTTGTAAAGCCTGAGTGGTCCTCGTCGTGACTGGTAAACTGACCTTTATGTCTATAATATTTAATGTCTGCTTACTGTTGGGTTATACACAGCATCTGGTCAGAAAGCCTAGAAGTGGTTCGCTGTAGCACGCAAACGCCGGCCTTGTACCTGCCAACTAAACTATGAGTCGATTATTCTCAAGTCTTCTCCCACCACATGACTTCCTTTCCAGGCATTTCTCCTTTCGTGGCCCCGGTTAGTTCGACTTTCACACAGCCTGTTCTCGAGCGAACCTCCATTATGGCAGCAGGCAGGCATGGCCGCCAGGAGATTTGTGACTCAGCTGCGAAGCCAAAGAATCATCTCAGTGTAGTCTGAATGTGTAAACTGTTTCTGCTAAACAGTCATAACAGCACAGTAAACAAACTCAAACAGAAAAAATGGGGGGGAAAGGATTGGAGGGACTGGAGCAGACGATGGAGAAAGAGAGGAAGAAATGGTGTGAGATGGATGACAAGAAGAAAGGAGAGGTTGGGGATGGAGGCAATAATGGAAAAGACCAGGAGAAAGATGGAGTAAATAAAAGCATTAATGTAAAAACAGTGAGTGGACATGTAATGAAGAAGGGAGGGGCAAAGAAAAGGGTGAAAAAGCAAAGAGGAGAAAGGAAAGGGAGAAAGAGGTTGGTTGACCAGAAGAGAAGGAACAGGGGGGAGGCAGTGAAAGAGCTGATAAGCAAATAAGGATACAGCGGGAAGAGAAGAGAGAAAAAAGAGATAATCTGGAAGATAGAGATGCAGAGAGGTCGACTGAGCAGCAGGAGAAGAATGAAAGGAGAGGCGGTGGAAAGAAAGGAAGAAAGGATCGGAGGGAAGGGGAGATGTGGCGATGGGGGGGAGGGGCGTTGGCTGCTGGTCTGCAGGGGCCTGGCTGCCTTCGACGGGGAAAATGAAAAAAAAAAGACATTTGAGAGGCAGTGGCTGGCAACCTCCCTCCCTCTCCCTGTCTTTACCTCTCTCGCCCCCTGCGATTGCTGGAGACTGCAGGGGGAGGGGAGTCGCCTCTGCAGGCTGAGTGATGGATGGTTACTACATGGGGGATCGTGTGTGTGTGTGTGTGTGTGTGTGTGTGTGTGTGTGTGTGTGTGTGTGTGTGTGTGTGCGCGCGCGTACGTTGAAGTGGAAGCAGTAATGAGGTGAAAGTCCAGATGAGGCTCGTTATTATTTCGATTCAATCAGAAGGAGGAAACACTCTGATGGACGACGATGTGCAGCGTTTGGAAAAAAGACTTCCACTCGTTACACATCAGACCTTCAGAGGTCATCCCACTTCCTTCATCTGTTCCTTTTATGAAACAGCCTCTCTGTCGCATCCATCGCAGCCGTCCTGCCGGAGCTTTTTTATGGTTCAGATCGTCGTGGTTTAAAGAAAATACCAGCTAGGAACAGATTCTCCTCCCTTCATTCGTTTGTTTTTGCCATCACTTTCATTCTGTGTGATCACATTTTTCTACTTTATTACCCCTCTCTCGCCATCTCTCCTTCACAGAATTGCACTACCTCAAATTAACTTCACACTGCCAATTTTTAAAAAACGTTTTTTAAAGATACAGCAAACATTTTGCACGCTGTAACGTCTGTTTCTGCAGGTGTCAGTGTGGCTGTAACTTTTTAATGCAGTTCATCAAGTCTACAAGGAGTCTGCTTGTTCATCAGTTTAAAAGATAACAGGAGTTTTAATAATAATAATAATTGTATGTGTTTATTTTGAGTAAGATGAGTTTAATTTAGGGTAATTGTTAATAATATAACATGTACAGATGTAGACATCCCTTTTTATTGGTTATTACATAATAAACCATATAATTACATTTTCATATTTAAAAAAGTGCAATAATCTATTGGTGTTATTACGTAATGAAGTGAAAATGTGTTACATAATGTGTTGTTAGACATGTTCTACTTACTTATATATAGCTTATATATCTTTATAACCTTGTAGGAAGTTGTATGTAAGGAAATATACAAAAATATATTTTCTTTTGTGATATTGTATCGATTCTCAAAAACAGTGTATTAATTTTTTAATATTGAATCATTACCCCGTACTGTGATACATATAATATCACCAGATTCTTGCCAATATACATCCCTAATAGGTAGGCCTTTATATAAATATATAGCACAAGCATAGCACATTTTATATTATCGCAGACTTAATTTGATGACGCTGAGCCAAACCAGACAAAATCACTTCCTGTGCTCCAGATGATGATATTTCTCAGAGTAGAGCTACCAGGTGCTGATCACTTCAGCAGAGACAGGCTGAATCACTGTTGCACTGACTCAATCGGTGGCACTGAAAGCAGAGGAGTATTTTCACTTCTCTGATTATTAAATGTGTGCTTTTTTAGAAAAAACCCACCCTGAATGTCAGTTTTGTTGGAACGGTCCTTCAAAAGCAAAGTAAAATGTTGTCATTGTGACACAAAGAGAGGGAGCACAGCCTCTCACCAGCCGTCGTAGGAAACCTGGTCCTTTTGATGTAGTTCCCCATACGCTGCTGCATAAAGGACACTGATAAAGGCTTCTTTGTCTGCGGTCGGCAGCCAGGGAGAAACCTCGAGATAATTTGGCCTTACAGGAAGGGAGTACACAGAGAGAGGGGAGAAAGACCAAGAGGAGGGAGAGGACATGAGACAAACAGAGAGAGAGAGAGAGAGATGGTGGTTAAAAAAAAAGAGACAAAGAAAACCTCGAGAGCAAGAGGAAGAGAGGAGGGGAAAAAAGGAAAATGAGGAAGAGGGAATAAGAAAAGGTTTAGACAGTTTAAAAAAGAAAAATTAAAACAAAGGAGTGAAAGAGACAAAGGAACAAACAGAAGGAGAGGAGAAAGGAGGGGAAGAGACCTGACTGAGAGAGAGAAAGGAAAAGGCAAGAGGGGAGGAAGAGGTAGAGAGGTGGCTGCTAAAGGTCACGTTTAAATTGGGTCTTGGGGAGCTGCTTCCATGGAAATGCTTTGAAGATTAAAGCGGTCTACAGAGCAGAAACGCCATATTTCACTATTAATGAACCTCGCTAACTGTTCCGTCTGCGCTCTCTCTCTTCACTCTGCGTCTCTGTTTCTTTATTTTCACGTCGTTTATAGCGACCTGTCTCATCCTTCTCTGTCGAGGCAGAACACTTTTTGGTCCGTCGCTCCTCCTCTCTTCGGCCTCGGCCTTTACTCCTTTACCTTTACTCTTTTATGCCTCGTGCAATATGCTGCATATCTCTCTTTTTAATATCACTTTTTTCCGTCTTCACTTCCTGTGCTCCTCTAACTCACTTCATTCCACCTTTCTTTTTTTATTCTTTGGAAGTATTTCACCTCCTTTCCCCGCCTCTGACAGCTCACGTTCTATTAATCTTTTTCATACATCCTCGACATTATCCTTCTCTTATGCATCACTTTGTCTTAATTTCTACCTCATTTCTGTGTTCTTCTGTCCTTTTATGACATTTTTCTCTCTACTTTTATCTTTTATTTCTGGGTTCAGTGTTCAGTGTTGACGTCAGAAATGTGAGAAAACAATCATACTACAAACTCTATTTAGCTCCGTTAGCTTTCCATCATATCGCATGACCTTCATCACCCAGTTGTCATGGAAATGTTCAGAACTCTTCCTCTTTTCTTTGTCTTTATTTTAAACAGTCCACAAAGTATTGTTCAACAAAATCCTTGTCCAGGATTTGCTTCTTTATGATGATGAAATTAAATATCTTTGTGTTTTGAACTGTTGGTTTGAGGACACTGGTGGGCTGGGACCTTTCAGTTCCCAGTTTGTAGATGTCAAACCGAGTGTCCTGTATATATATATATATCTACCTGGTGGACAGGTGTGTAGCAAGAGGAAATCACGAGCAGCAAGCACTGAATTTAAAAGAGACACAACATTTCAGTGATGGACTTCAGTCAGGCATCAGATTTACAACGTGAAACATCTTTATACTAAAGCCACAGGCTGCTACAACCAATCAAACACCTGTTGTGAACTGACATGTGAATAAAGAGAATAATCTGACGCATTGCACAACTCTCTGTCTCTTTTGCTGAACCAGAGAAAGAACTTGACGAGTACTCCAGCTACTACAGCTCCAAACGTCGCTCCAACAACGCTCCGCCCTCCTTCCACTCCTCGCAGCACCACCTGCCCTGGGGAGGCGAGTACACGCTGGGGTCCAGGGGCACGCTGCCCCTCCACGGCTCCCGGCCCCGCATCCACATGCCTGCCTCCACCCCGAACCCGTACCCGCTGCCCGCCCAGAGTCAGTACACCAACTCCTCTTTCGACAGGCCGCCGCGCCGCGTCCGCTCCCAGGACCAGCTGCTTGCACTCGGGGAGGGCACGCTGTCCCGCCTGTCCAAGAACCAGCAACACCAGTACTACAAAGCCATGATGAGCACCAGCAGGGGCTCTAACTCACAGACGCTCCGCAGGTAAGACTGGAGAGGGGGAGAGGACGGAGGGCAGGAAGGGTGAGAGCAGATGAAAGCAGATAAAAAGAAGCAGATGAAATTCTAAAGAGAAAGGAAGATGAAAGACGAGAGGAGATCATAATGTCAATATCAGATGATACGAGAGGATGGAGGAGAGATGAATCAGAGTGTGTAATGTTTAATAGTGTCTGACAAGGTGAGGATAAACAATATTAAATTAAATCAGTCCAATTTAAAACCTGTAATCTTTTTATGAATTTTACTTTCTTTTTTTTTTTTAAATGAGTCAGATAAGCTAAGCTGAACAGTTCATGTTTGACTTTGGAAACAGCAGTTGACTAAAACATCTCAACCTGAGGTCCACTTACTGTCAGCAACATCACTGGCAATGAAAAACCTTCTACTGTGAGAATGAATAAAACATCAGAACATAAATAAATCATTAAATTGGTGTTCTGTTATATTTCACATTACATTAGCTACAACTCTTTTAATGTGTAAAACAAAACCTTTAACAGCTTTTGAAGAAGCTGTTGTTCAGGTGTGACACAGCATTTAATGAGCACAGTTTATTATCAGAGAGGATAAATAAGTCTCTGGTTCCAGGTCCCACGAGAGGCTTCTGGTCTCACCTGACCGGCTGGAGGACCAGCTGATGGCGATGGGTCTGATGGTCGGAGCAGGCGAGAGAGGAGGAGGAGGAGGAGGAAGCGGGATGGTGCCCACCATGGGCCGGCTCAGCCACCACCAGAAGGCGCAGTCGCAGCAGAACATCTGCGCCACGCCGTCGTTGGACCGCCACCACATGATCAAGATGAACTCCCACCCGACACCAGGCCACGACGACGACCGCAGGTCCGGCGCCATGCCCGGGATGGGCATGCACGGCGGCTGGGACCCCCACGGGGGCCACGGCGGAGGCGGAGCGGGGACGGGCGGAGGCCACCCCAACGCCCGGCGGATGGCTTTCGCCAACAAGAGGCAGAACACCATCGAACAGCTGCACTTCATCCCCGGAGGAGGAGGAGGAGGAGGAGGAGTGCAGGGACTGCGGACTGGGAGTAAGAACGAGGTGACAGTGTGAGAGGAAGAGGGAGGTGAAGAGTAGAGGAAGATGAAGAGTAGAGAGGTAAAGGCTGACGCTTGTAAAGAAGCTGGAGAGACAGACAGCCGAAAAGAGGCATTTAGTGAGGAAGATGAAGTGGAGAGATAAGCTATAACTATAAAAAGAGATGAAGAAGAGGTTTGATCTGAGCTGGCTGCCTCACAGGGTGGCACTCTGCCCCCCCTCCCCTTCATTAAACAGAAAGTGGTGGAAGACGACACTAATCTCGTAGTGAGTATAGCCAATTGATTTTCTCCCCGTCACTTTGTGTATTGAAAAAGAATATTCAGCCATTCTTTGTAAAGGGAAGACAGAAATGTCCACTTAAAAAGAGCAAAAAAAGAAACGATTCGAGTGCAGTTTAAAGGCTGCTGGGTATTCGCTGTGACTTTTATTGAAGGATACCTGCTGAGTCAAATTTGTTGAATTGTCCTTGAGTTTTATTGCACTGTCCTCTGAGTCCTCGGGAGCTCTGACAGAGATTCATCTGTCTTTAAATCCACTGTGGATGACGGAGAGCGCTGAGGACAGAGACAGACCAGGTTTGCTTGTCTTTGTATTTATAAAAAAAAAGTATTTAAAAACCAAACGAGTTGCTTTTGTATGAAATTAACCTGATAATGATAATAGTATTAACAGTACTGAGCCCTGTAAGACTTTGTGTATACTTGGTTTAAAAACATATTTATCCTTCAGCCCAGACGGTTCGTAACTTAAAGGCTGGGACACGTTTCTTTCTCTAGCTGTGATTGGACTGTAATGAACACATTTCTCTGTAGACAAGTAGCTGTCACTTGATTGCCTTTAAGGCTCGATTTACTCTAGATAAAGATTCAAATATATAAACCTAACGTCAACACAAACTGCTGCTATAAAGGCCCAGTCACACCAAAACCTAAATAATTTCACCATTAATGCTGCAGTCCCTCCATTTTTGGCGGACTGTGACGAGAGAGTTCGAGCTCAGCCGAACGGAGGAAGCCATTGTTGCTTATTATAGCTACGTGTTGCACCAATCACTTTTCTCGTACCTCCTCTGTCGGAGTTAGAAACTGCTCCACCAAAGGGTCCACGGGAGGTTCTGGGACAGGAGCCGACGGTACGCCTACGCCTTTTTGAACTGTTTCAACTTTAAATCAGCTGGTTCAGAAACTTTTCTTCTTCATAAAATCTCTTTATAGACCGACTGAGTGGAGACGACACAGCAGCACAGAGAAAACAGGAAGAAGCTAGGGCAGCTATTATGACCGACTGTCCCCGTCTCCCTGCTTTGCTAGAGTTACAGTAGTTCACCAACTAGCCCTGCGAGTAGTCACTATACAAGCTTCTTACGTTGCAAAACACAGCGCGAGATTTATTTCCGCTGTGCCACTTTCTGGAGTGTCCGGGCCTTCAAAAGTCAAATCGACTTTGCAGTATGATTTTAGCTAACTTAAAGCCTTTGTACAGTGAACTCTAAGTGGGTGTCTATCATCTATGAAACATTGTGCTGTGACCCTTTTGCGTAATAATTTGTAAAAAAAATAAATAATGTTTTGGAATTAGACCACTCACAAAGAAGCACCAACCTCACGCAAACATTTTTATAAAACCGACCCTGACTGACCAAACATCCCTCAGCCACTGTTATAAACTTCTCATTGTGAGTTCGTGGAGAGTCAACGGGGGGGGGGGGGGTTTCGTTCCCCTCCCGTTCTTCTACGACGCCACACGTTACCTGCAAGTTCAGCTGCTCACCTCATATGAAAGGGGAAAGGGAGGGGGGTATGGGTTTCGAGGCAGGGGGGACAACGGACACTTCACACCAAGGGCTATACCGAATTATCTTTGTGTGTCTGTGCTCTGTACAGTGTCTGCTTCTCATTTTCATTTTCTCCTCAGCGTGTCGGTTGTCGGGGGAAGGCGTGCTCGTGTTCACCGGGTTTTTATTATTTTTGTGTGGAGAGAGAAAAATATATAAACATGCAAAAGGAACTTCTGTGCCAACATGTACAAACACACGACCCATGGTTACTTTATGTTGTCGTGGGAGGGGAAAAGAAAACGGTGGCCATGATGATGTCATATTTTGTACACTTTGTTTTGGTTTGTGTTTGTTTTTCTGGCTGTGAGACGGACCTTCTGGCCTTCCCAGGGCTGGATCTCCTCGTTCTATGGGGGTTTAAGGGACTCGTGAGGCCTCGTCGGAGGTCTTCAGCGTCCCCTCGGAGTTGCATTTCGATAAAGACAGACATGATTGATGACTGAGCGACGCTTCCTGCCGGCCATTCTTTTACTACGATACATGTGTTCACATTAATGGTTTATGATCCCCCCCCCTTTGATCAGACTATGAACTCTCTTTATCATGAATCGACTATTTTGTTTTTGATCCTTTTTTTTTTTGTTTTGTTTCTTTTACTTAAACATGTATTTATTTTTTTAAATCTCTTGTGAATTTTAATGTATAATCCTGGATTTTCAATATTCAAAACTTTCTAGTGGAATTAAAAAAAAAAGACTAAAGAAAAACGAAAAAGAGTCGATGCAATCAACGAGAAAAGACGAAAAAACCCGCATGACAGAAGCCAGTGTCGATGATGTCATAGCGCTGACTTATGTTGTCACGGAGTGTGTGTGTGTGTGTGTGTGTGTAAATGTAACATGCGTCTGTTTTCATTTGTTTGCCCGTGTGTGTGTAACTCTGTCGGTGTCTTCTTATTCTTCGCATTGCGGAAACCTCATCTTCGACCAAACTTCCGGGGGGGGGGGGAGCCGATTTTTTAAAAAGACCCGCGCGGTCGCCACGTGTTCATATCAAGACTGAAAGGGCCTGTCGTTGTTTAATTTAAGAACAAAGAGAGAGACGTCGATCAATCACAGCTTTTCTTGTCGAGCTACGTTCACCAAAGCGAGGACTTTCCAAACATTTTGAAAAATGTAAATTCTTGAAGGCTTTACGCCGTGTCGCGTTTTTTTTTTTTGGTATTCGAGTCATTCACGACGTCCTGAAATCCCCGCGCCGCCGCCCTCTGACTTCAATATGTATCTGCAAAAGTCGACTCTTGTTTTTTTTTTCCACGAACCAGCTGCTCATTTGTGCTCATTTCCACGGAGCTTTTTAAGGGCACGAGAAGTTCAAAGGTACCGAGTGTCGAGAGCGTTTTTAAAGAGTCATGTTGTTGTTGTTTGAGCCGGTTGTTGTTGTTGTTGTTGGAGGAGAATGTATTGTGGCTGGAAAGGCTCTGTGGTTTTTACAATGAAAACATCTTTTAAAAGAGAAAAGAGGCAACAACAAAAAAAAAAAAAAAGGCGAGGTGAGGCGAGGGGGTGAAATGTAAATGACACGTTGTATTTTTAATGTCTCATTTTCTCCTCACACCTTCAGCGGTCTGATACAGATGTTGTAATCCATGTTCAGTTAATTGCTCCCCTGATAAAACTGTGTGCCTGTGTTTTGTGTGTGTGTGTGTGTGTGTGTGTGTGTGTGTTAACCACTGGGGGAGGGGGGGATTACTCTGCATACCTCAAACTTGTATGATACATTTATTTATTACATCCCCTTATATGTCTATTTCCAAGAATATCCAAACGAAGGTCTCACAGATGTGCAACCCTTTTTGTTATTGGTGATCAATTCTTGCGTTTGTAGAAATCATCATACTGTTTAATTGATAATAACAATAATAAAAAAAAAATCCCACTAAACCTTGTTTGTGTGTTTTTTTTTATGTGATGAGATTTTGACTCCTTTCGGTTTGTGTGTGTGAGGATCACGTGAGATAGGTAGAGCTGATTTATTGATTATTTTTTTTGATTATTGATGCTTTTATTCTGTTTTATATGATTGTAAACTGAATATTTGAGTTTTTGGACTGTTTTTTTTAGACCAAATGAGTATTTTTAAGACATTACGTTGACATTTAAGGCAAAATAATTAACTGTTTAATGAAATAAATACTCTATTAATAATAATAATAATAATTAACAGTGAACAGCAGTGCTTTCAGGGCTGCAGCCGACCTTTATTTTACATATTTTTAGCCTTTAACGTTTGTATAAAGTTGACATTAAAAGTTCCCAGAGCCCAATGTGACTTCTTTAACAACCTGTTGTCATAAACAATTAATCAAATATCTAAAAGAGTTTTAATAATCTACTACACCTTTATTATCTCCTAATCAATTCATACAAACTGCCCTAAAAACCCTCCGTATACTGTTTGACATTTCATTTTAATATATTTTAATATATTAAAGATGTTTTTATGGATAAATATATAAATATATACGTGTATTTTCTGCTCTAAACTATTTACTTAAAGAAAGCTTGAATTAAAGCTAAAGTGTGTGTGTGTGTGTGTGTGTGTGTGTGTGTGAGACGTGGTGCCCCCACTGAGCACTCATTATTAAATGTATGTACACTGAGAGTTACATGTTACAGAGTAATCAGGATACAAAAAAAGGTAACTAATCCATTGCAGTAAGATAAAAAAAAGTAATCAGATTACAGCTACAATTAATAATTTAATTAACTTGTTTAACGTTTTAATGTATCTGTTATCTTTTAAAATATAAATAATATAAATTCCTCTTATTAACATTTTTAATTGACATATATTTCTATGTTGAAATAATCAAAAAGTAACGGAAAGTAATCACGTTACTTCAACAGTGAGATACATGGATTTAAGGTTACTGTACATTTAATTAACAGTTAATTAATTAATGTGTCGGATTAAATATTTTTTCAATATAGTAACAGCTTGTTTGTGTACCACACACACACACACACACACACACACACACCTTGTAATGTTATGCAGCACGTGCCCTAATGATATCTTTAATTGACTCATTAACATTTCACACACTTGGCGTGAAAACACACACACACACACACACACACACACACACACACTGAAATCTCTTAATGGTGTGCAAACACTGCCATGCGCACACACACACACACACACACACACACACACACACACACACACACACACACACACACACACACACACACACACACACACACGGTTTCTTCATTCACGAGCAGCATGCCGGATAGAAAGCGTATTTGTGTACCGGAGGATCAGCGGTGGATGTGAGCGGCGGCGGCGGCGGTGTGGTGGTCGCGGGGCCCCGGACAGACCCAACCTGTACCCGGCTGTACCCGGAACCATTATGCAGACAGGAAACTACCATTTTAACGCCAGCAGCAGCATCGGAGGAGCCGTCGTCTACACAGGGGGACACCTCACACCGACAAGGGCGGAAAACAGCCAACCGTGGAGGAGAAAAGAGGGAAAAACACGACGGAAACTAAACAAAGGCGCCGTTTCGGGTTCGAATCCGAGCAGCGGGTCGGTGGAGCAGTAGAGAACCGGCGGCGGCAGACAATGGACCCATCGGGACCGGGCCAGCGGAAATAGTTTTTTGTTAGCGAGCGAGCAGCAGCCCTCCCGGGCCGATGGAGAACCAGGCCTCTCACAGTGTTTTTCCATGGATGAAGAAAAAGGCCCCGCTGACAGGCAGTAGGGACCCCGCTCTCACGGCTCGCTCCCCGCTCGGTGCTCTCACACTTTAACTCCCGTGTTTACCCCCCCTGGAGCCCGTTGTTGCCCCCGCAGCCCGCCGTCGGATGCTACGAGGTAAAAACAACAACAAAAGCCGTTTCCCAGCAGCGGGATGTGGAGCTAATGGGCTAGCCTCCGAAGCTAAAGCTCGGCTAAGCTGTTAGCTTCAGTGTGCTAAGCTATTGCAGGGGGAGGGAGGGGGGGCTTTATTGTTGTTAATATCAGCGCCGATTAATGTAAAAAAAAACATATTTTTATATCTGTTAAAAACACTCTGGAGGTGTGAGTGTGTGAAGTGGAGCTAATAAAAACACTCTTTCTGTGGCTGGACGCTGGTGAGTTGACTGGCAGCGGTTCATTGTGTATCCGTCTAACCTGCTCGGTTTTCGGTGCATCTGTTTCAGGCTGTCGCCCTGAGGTCACCGGTTGTCGGTGGAGACAGAGAACCGTTTCTCTCCCTCTCTCTCCGGATACACACACTCAGACACAGACCTGTGGATCAGCCGGTAAGATGCAGAACAACATCACTCTCCTCCCAGATTGTCAAAACTTTTTAATTACTTAATTAGTTGTCACTTGTTGTTGTGTTTGTGTGCTTAGAGGAGATTTAAACTCTGTGTGTGTGTGTGTGTGTGTGTGTGTGTGTAAAAAAAAGTTTATTTTAAGCAAGATAATTGTTTTTTCTTCTAACCTGAAGATGTTTGTAATTATAATAATCAATAAGATTTAAAAACAGCATGCTCAGATATTTTGTCCCACCTGTCCTGGAAAACCTGGATGATTAGAGACTAGTTTTTCCAGGCATAAAAAGACCTGGAAATTGATTTAAAATGACCCAAATAGCCTGGAAATACTCTGTTGTCCTATTATTTATTTAGCCATATTACCCACATGAACCTGGGTTTAGAGGAAAACTGTAACCCTCAAACCCTGACCAACTTCATGAACCCTTCATCGTTTAAAAGGTTTATGAGCAAGTGTTGTCAGGAAAAAACTCCTGGAAAAGAGTGAGAACCCTGGACTGTATCCCAAGTACGTACAAGGCTTTCATGTAGCTCTCAGTTGTTTGTCTTTATGTATCTGTGCATCAGTTAAACCTACATACAGCAGAGAGTAGCCGTCTCAGCCTACGTGGGGTCGCTTGAAACGCAGTAAAATAAAGTAAATATGTTGTAAATAAATATAAATGTATAGATATATATTGCACTAGGATCCACGTGGAGCTGCTCCGTGCTCCTGGAGATATAAAGCAGCAGTATGTCACACTTCATTTCACATGACAGCCTGTCAGCTCTGTAATTGTTTTCATCAGGAGGATTTCTGGGACCTGAAATTGGAGAAGCTAAGATTTGACAAGTTATGCTTCTTCTTTTTTTTCTTCTTCTTCCTTCATAAGTTGGACGAGAGTGACACTTTTTTACTCGCAGAGAAAAGATGTTTTAATAAGCACATGTCTCCGAGACTGATCACAAGCTGCTCTGTGGTCGCTGGCACCGATTCTACAGATAACGTTAGAAAGGCAGTTTTTCTCCATAATGTTTGCTTTAGAGAATAAATGTGCCATTACCTGGTAGAGGAAGCATTATTTAAAAGTATTAAAGTGTGTGAGGGAGCAGCTTCAGTTTGTTATTCCAACATAACTGGAAATCATATAATCTGAATTTTAGCTCTTTTAAAATGTCTCAAATAAGATTGAACTTACTCGTATAAAGTTGTATTTTCAGTCTGGCTTTTATGTGTTTTTGGGGAGAAATTTGTATTAATTGTGCTGTAACGAACTACAAAAAGAAACTACTGATCTTCCTTCATACTTTTATTTCACCCGTACGGCCGTAAAATAGGTCTTACATTTAATTCATAATGTTTGTAGAAAGTCTTTAATTTAACAACGGTTGCATTTAAAAACCATTTTATAACTGTTGTGTGTCTGTTGATTTAAATAGGTAGAAAGGTTTTCCCTCTGTCTTTGGGACAAATAAAACCACTTTTAATATCAGCGTTGGTGTGTTGAACATCCTGGTGCAGAAATATGTTGTAGTTACGCTTACAGTTAACACTGTTTTGCTTTTTTCAGACCGTTTAAAACAAAGGTTTACACATATGTTTGTAACAAGTGCTCTATTATGGTGCAATAAGTCTGTTTTTAACACGTTTGTGTTGTCACCTTGGACGTATTTTAACACATTGGAGAAGTTGCTCCTGACAACCAAACTGTAGCAAACAGACTTCAGTTTTGGGAGCTGAGTATTGCACGCTTTAAATGAATCCTATACTATATATATATATATATATATATATATATATATATATATATATATATATATATATACCTATTGGTCAACCAATCAGCAGCTGGCAGTGCACTAATTGGTTTTTCTGCATAGGTTTAAATGCCACCGGTTATTTAGCCGCTGTGCTGATTGCTTGGAAATAAACCCTGCAGACTCTGGAGATCAGGTCGCTTTCAGACTCCTGCTGGTTTTCCTACCTATCCGTTAGTTACCTGCATTAACTCGGTGTAACAGGTGTAAAGTAGTTCCCCGGTAGAAGAGCTAGAATGAAACACAGGTTTGACAGCACGCTGCCTCGTGTCCTCTTTTATTATATCACTTATAAAGTATAAAGATAACAGTAGTCAGTGTGTGCTGTTGGTTTTGAGCCATCCCAGTGAGACAGAATTCAGATTTATTTGCTTTTGTACTCAGTAGTTGGGCAACAGATTGACTTCCGAGTTTGTTCTGTGGTTTACGTTTGAGGAGTGTGATTGATTCCAAGAATTATCTTTAAAAACAGCGTCTATAAGTGGTAAATGTGCTTATTGAAGCCTGAGGATGCTGCACAACTGTATCTTCTTAATATCACCATTTGTTCTTGTGGTTCATCAGCTTGTCTAACCGCATTAAAACCCCCTCTGCTCTGTCACAGACACAAACATACAGAGCTTTTGAGTAACAGCGGGGGTTTCCAGTGTTGTTAAGAGGAAAATAATCATGAAGTTATAGTTTAGTTACTGCCAGAGATTCCTCAGACACGGGATGGGCCTGCGTCGTCCCCCAGTGTCGCTCCGCTGAGCTCCAGACTGTACGCAGATGTAGAAGCACGTATGAGGATGTTTGGCTCCTCTGGTTTCTGTCTCGGGGGGGAGAGTCGTTCGTTCATCTCTCTCTCTCTCTCTCTCTCTCTTCTCTCTCTCTCTCTCTCTCTCTCTCTCTGCGAAGCGAGAGGAAGGTCAGAGTAAAGAGCAGAATTAACCTCAGTTTTTAACAAGATATTTTTCATCCTAGCAACACAGACACACAAGAACACGAGACTGCAGCAGGTTGTTACTTACAGCTACGGAAAGAAGGTGTAATCAGATTAAGATGTCGCAGTTTATATTTGCAGATAGCTGTAAAGAATGAAGCACTGGAGATTTGTGTGGGCGGCGAAGGCGTCTTTATTAATGCCATAATTATTCTCAAGACAGGTGAATGTCACAGAAGTTGCTGTCATGTTGCACACCTGTTTCTTTTTTTCTTGTTTTGGATCAAAACTGCAGCCATAGAAACTCACTCGGTGTATAATTATAAGAATATTGTCGAATATTGTTATGTTTTCTGATTGGGAATCAGACTGTAGCAGTAACACAAGCACCAGTTTCTGTATTCGTACTGCGTTCCTCGATGGGTTAACAGCTACTGCTCCCTGTAGTGACCCACATTTAAAGAATACATGTTCTCCCTAATTGGTTAAAAATGAATAAATAAACCTTGGACATTGAGAAATAAAACAGGAACATAATCAGTGAAGTTAATTGAAAATGCCAATCTCTAAATATCTGTGGACAGCAGGGATTTACTGAGCTTCAGTGTTGATTCACAGCAGCCTGTTTCTCCCTTCGACACAAAGACACCGTCCACCAGACCACCTTTTTTTTTAATCTGGCATTTAGCTCTGTTGTGTGTGTGTGTGTGTGTGTGTGTGTGTGTGTGTCGACGGGCAGCCATGTTCTCCAGCAGGAGCTGGACAGGAGTCGTGTGGCGTTTTGAGCCACCACTCTGATTTCTTTTCCTTCTGCAGGCTCTGTTTGTCACACTGTACTGTTTGACTGTTAATATAAAGATTATAGTAAACCTGTGTGATCTTTTCTTCTTATTGCACCAATGTTTCTGTTTCATAAATGGAAACCAGTGGATAAAATGTGCTTTTGCAAATCATCATTTTGTCTATTTTCCTTGATTGTTCTGTGTTTAGATTTCTCTTACCAGCTTTTTGTGCCTCATATTTCCTTAATTAACTAAACTGTTAATTAATTAAAGCTGCTCTCACCTTAAAATAGTGACAGACACATTATCCAAAACAGCAATACAGTCTGGCTGCAAGCTGTGCAACCAGACAAACACCTTGCACAGAGTCGAGTTATAAGTTTACAGCAGGCGTCGGGTTCATCGCGTTGACGTTGGCTGATATTAGAAAGCCGGCTGAAGAAGAAACATTTTAGTGCTTTCCAAGGTTTTCACAGCTCATACAGCTTCTGAGTATGAAGAGGGAAGGCAGTGACACAATTTCCTCTTTGCCTGAGTCAGACATTGTCAATGTGTGAGTATTTTTAGCCAAATATTTTAGATGTTGTGGCCACAGCGACACTTCTATTTTCTTTGGGGAAATGCCTTCTAAAAAACGACCTGACAGTGAACATTAGACATTCTTATAAATATAAAGAAATACCAGCCCAATAAATGGACTACCAAACCTTAAACAATATGTTTAACATAGCTGTTTCATGTACAGCTAAATCAATTACTTGTGTTTGAGCAGAGTTGTTTATTCGCAGGTTCCTTTCGAGGCCTCCAGCATCGGGGTTTTGAGGCTCCGAGGGCAAGAAAAGCACCACAGTGTTGGCAAACCCTCTGTGCCTAAATGTTTGTTCAATCTCCTTCTGTATCAAGTGACTAAATCACTAACAGTGTCCTGTCTCTCTTTCCCCCCCTCCAGGCTGTCCGAAGAGCTCCATGACGGGACAGAAGGGCGGTGAAGCAATGGTTCCTCCTCCGTTGAAATAACGGACACGCTCTACTTCATGGGACTGCTGACCTGATTTTAAAAAATGAACATACAGTTATGGAACACTTTAAAGAAACACTACAGACTCTGTTTTTTTAGTATAACTTAGTTTATTGCCTATTTATGACCCTTTTTTTGTAACATCCCACAGAAGCACTTGAAGGCTTCACCCTTGAATGGAGAGTGAAAGTATTAGTGATACATTTTATGTGAGAAAAACCGAGCATCGGCTTTTTTTTGGTGGATTATATCGGCGCGTTGGAAGCTTGGGGTAGAAATCCCACCAAGACTACCTCTTTAAAAAAAAAAAACCCCACCTTGTCAGTTTGACAAGGGTTTTCTGCTGTTTGCAGCAATTAAGGACTTAGTGCACGAGGCATTTGTGGCTTCGTGACACTTTGTCACAGCTGTTTTTTGAAGATGTTCCAGTTCAGCAAGTACCCCATGGACATTTTAGAGATGCTAAGTGGACACCAAGCACACCAGTTCAAAGGCCTTGGATTAGAGCGACAACTGAGCCACCAACAGCAGGTTCAGCTGCAGCATCAGCAGCAGCTCCAGCAGCAGCACCAGCCCCCCGGGGACACCTCTGGAAGCCTCCTGTCCGGCCTCGGCCTGGGATCCCTCCAGAGTTCTCGGAGCAATGCCTTCGCTGACTCCTCGTCGTTATTCGCCAAAATGAGCGCCCCTCCCCCGCCCATCTCCCACCAGAGCCAGTCGTCCTCGTCGTCCCACAGCTCCAGGAAATCCAGCAAGATGAGCAGTAGCAGCAGCAGCGGCAGCGGGAGCTCCTCGTCGGGATACCCCCAGTTTCTGCGGCCGTTCCACCCGGCCGAGGCCGCGCTGGCCCAGGAGCAGCTCCACTCTGGGATGGGACGGTTTGACTTTGGTGGGAGCAGCAGTGGGGGAAGCGCGGGGGTCATCGGGGGCGTTGTTACACCTGCGCCCCCGCCTCCCCCGCTGCATCCAGGTCTCTCTGTCCCACAGCCGTCCCCTGGTCCCCCCACTTCCTCGCCCTCCCCCTCCACTTCTTCAGCCTCTAACAACCCCTCTGGCAGCACTGCAGTCCCCTTAGTTGGCCAGTCTGACCCCCGCAGCCTACACCAGCAATTCAGCTGCATGCTCGCCGCCAACCAGTACTTCCTGTCCGGCGTCCCCACCAACAGCAGCCTGGAGCAGTTCCTCGTCCAGCAAGGCACTCACAACCACTTGGGCTTGGGTCTGGGCCAAGGGGCCGGTGAGTCAAACTCGGCCCTGGCCCCTCCCCCTGCCCTCCACTCTTCCCACAGCCACAGCCACACAGCTCCACAGCCTCAGCAGCAACAACAACAGCTGACCCCTCATGCCTTATCTCATCCACACAGCCACACTCACCACCCGCACCCTCTGCACCCGGCCCCCCAGCCCGCCCCGCTGGGTGGCTTTGATTTCCAAGGCATTCCAGTCCTATCCTCAAACCAAATAGCATCACTAATGCAGCAAGAGGCTGGCCTCCCCCTCCCCTTGCCCCTGCACCTGTCGCTCTCTAAAGACGATGGAGGGAAGACGGGAGACAGCTCGTCTTCGTCCGCTTCGAGCGGGGGAAGCAGGAGAAAGAAAGCGATGGCGGGATACCTGCCCCAGAGGAAAGCAGACAGTAGCAGCCACAGTCACAGCAGTCACAGCCACAACAGCAGCTCGAGTGGACACAGTCAGAGCTCCTCATCGGGCCTCGTGGGAGGAGGATCTGGGATAAGTGGCATCGGAAGCGAGCCACAACATTCCTCTCTCCTCTCCTCTTCATCGCAGCAGTCGTCCTCCACCGTCTCCTCCTCCTCGTCCGCCGCTCCTCCCTCTAACTCCACCTCTGTTCTCGTAGCCAACGGTAACCCGCAGTTGTCCAAATCTCAAGAAAGCCACAGTAACAGTTCGTCTGGCCAGCCCGAACCAGAGCCCCTTTACCACTGCGGTGAATGTGGTAAAACCTTCACCCACCTCTCCAGCCTTCGAAGGCACCTCCGCAGCCACGGCTTGACACCAGAAAGCCAAAGCAGGAAGTCAGACTGTAACTCTCCCAGCCCAGAGAGGATATTCTGCTGTGGCGAGTGTGGGAAGAGATTTAAAAAGAGGGGTCACCTCATCCAACACAGCGTCACCCACTCGGAAAACCGGCCTTTTGTCTGCAACATCTGCCAAAAGTCCTTCAACCGCCGAGAGTCCCTTACGAGACACGAGAAGATTCACGACGAGAAGCCGTTCCGCTGCCCGGCTTGTGGGCGTTGCTTCCGCGAGAGCACCTCTCTTCTCAACCACGCTGCTTCAGGTGCCTGTGGCAAACCTCCCCGGAGTTCAAAAAACCGGGCCGGTGCCGGAGGGGGTGGATCATCCAATCCGAGCAGCAGTAAAATGGGAAGCAGTGCGGACCGGGTAGGAATAAGTGGTGGGGCAGCGATGGCTAATGACAAGTATGCAACAGATTATTCCAGAAGTCGCTACCAGAGCCAGTCGTCCTACAGCGGCGGGGTGGAGGACTACAGACGATCACAATCCTCGACCCTGTACTCCGCAGAGAGTACGCTAGCCTCTGAAATGAACAGCCAAACGCTCCGCAAAGCCCCTTTAGCCCCAACGCTTCATCCCCACCCACAGAGCCAGCAACCGCAGCACCACCACCACCAACCGCCACAGCAGCCACACCTCCCCCTCTCCTCCCTGTTGGATGATTCGGAGGACGAGGTCACCAGCAGTGCGATGTCGGCCATCGCCGCTGCCGCCGCGGCCTCTTGTGACTTAAACACGGAAAGCCGCGAAGGAGAGAGGAGGGATATCATCGGAGGGTTGTTAGGGGGGTTGGGGTTTGGTAACCTCGGTGGACCGTCATCCACGTCCAACCTCAACGGTTCCACCATGCCTTTGACCCACCCTAGCCAGCCCCACTCGAAGCCCAGGAGGCCGAGGAAGCCCAGAGAGAAAAGGGACCCGAGCACCATCGTCAGGAGAAGAAGGAGCCCTGCTCCCGCGGGGGACGGGTCAGAGAGGCCGTACAGCTGTCACATTTGCGGCAAACGCTTCAGAAGAGCGGAGACCCTGCGGCGCCACAACCGCGTCCACACGGGGGAGAAACCTCACGCCTGCGATGTATGTGGCAAAATGTTCCGGGAGCCGTTCCACCTCACCAAGCATCTGACCGTGCACTCCGGTCAAAAGAACTACAAATGCAATCTGTGTGGGAAGATGTTTGCCTATGCACAGAGCCTCGTGAGACACGGGAAGTTGCACCGGAAGGGCGAGATCGACAACCAGGGGCGGAGGATTAAAGGTGCTGCCGCCGCTGCCATCAGTCAGGTCGCCAACTCGGCAAACGCTGACTACTTCACATCCTGCTCCCAGGGAGAAAAGTCTCCAACATCTGGCACCCCCTCTCAGAGGCTCTACACCTGCACAGTGTGCTGGAAATCCTTCCGCCACTACTTCCACCTGACGGCACATCAACAGACTGTCCACGGTGGTGGAGTCGGGCTGGAGAAGTCCTTTCGCTGTGAAGTATGCGGTAAAGCCTTTGCCTACTCCAACAGTTTAGTGCGCCACAAGCTGTCTCAGCACGGCATCGACCGCAGCGGCCACCGCGTCAACCAGTCCCAACCCTCCGGATACTCGCCGCTCTTCTATGATTCTGGATCAGGTCCCAACTACGCTGGTTCCTCTCACATGCAGCAAGCGGCCTCCGGGCCACAGCATCAACAACAACAACAACAACAACCGCAACAACCACCGCCACCACCACCACCACCACCACCACCACAGCCGCCGCCACAACAACAACAACAACAACAACAGCAACAGCTGCAACACCCTTTTCAGTACCGCTCAAAAAACTTCCAAAAGCGGCATGGACAGACAAGAAAGCACAAAAAAAAAAAAGGCGAGTGGTGATCCACAGCATCATGAGAGACGGAAAGCTGGTGGGCGTCCCTCTCAGTAAAGACACCCGCAGGAAGCTGATGATCCTGAGGAAGAAGAGGGGCAAACTGCAAGCACAGCTCAACAAGAAAAAGCTGCTGGCCCAGCTGAGGATAAAGGGCGGCGTGATGAAAGTGAAGTCGTGGTGTGGAGGCGCGGTCCGAGTCACCGGGCTCACCTCGATGGACGTCCCCATCAAGCGATTCCCCTGCCCGATCTGCCCCAGCGCCACGTACGCCAAGCAGGGCTCTCTGCTGGTGCACCACGCCATCAGGCACCCACCGAGAAACTCAGGCCGCCACGCCCGTCTGCGGTGCCTGGTGTGCGGGAGACGCACCAGCTCGTTACACAAAGCCTTGAAACACCGGGGCCAGCATCTTAAACAAGCCGCGTTCCAATGCCGCCGATGCCGACACCGTTTCTGGAACCCCATCCTCCTGGGGCGCCACAGGTTCTCCTGTCGGGGGACGGCCGCCAGCAGCGCCAAGTGGGCACTGATGAAGATGAAATCTCCGCCGTCACGTGACCAGTCGGATAGTGACCAGTCACCAGTCCAGCTGCCGGTCCCGGTTCTGGTTCAGCCTGAGAGATCAACAGTTCTGACTGAGTACAGTCAGTAAAAACAAAAACAAAAAAAATGGAATAAAACAAAAAAAAAAAGTTTTCTAGACTAGTTTTTATTTTTATTTTTTTTTAAATAATCCAAGAGGCGAAAGCGAAGAGCTAGCGAGTTTTTAACAGTTGGGAGAGTGGGGAGGGTTTTAGTGTAACTACCGTAATATCCCCACAGCCCGGTCCTAACTTACTGCAGCGGAGGTGGACTTCTTCAAAAGGCCCCAAAAAAAACCACCTCAGATACCGATAAGGAACTATTAGACCACGTGACGATTAGTAGAAGCTGTTTGACAAACGCATTAATCCAGTTTCCTTTCCATCATTTGATTTGTGTTTGCTCATAAATATGGATTTGGATTGTAGGAGTGAGGTACCTTTTTTTTTTTTTTTTTTTCCAGTTTATTTTTCCAATTGTTTTGACATTATTCACAGTTAAACAGTATAGTCCGTGTCTCTTGCTCTGTATGTGTTTATTTGTTACCCCCCCTCCCTCCCTCCCCAGTGAGTGGAGAATCTCTCTCTTATACTGAGATTAAATCTGCCCCTCAAGATGAATTCAATCTTTTTAAGAAAAAGGAAATCCTGACCTGAAAAGTCCAAGAAAACCTCCATGAAAAGTGACTCACCACTGAAAAGGTCTCGTGTCATAAAAAAGGCAATATACCAGTCGACGTGCTAAAGCGACGGAAAAAGGACAAAAAAAAAAAGAGTTGGGACAAAACAGAGAAATGTTGGTGACCTTGTTTTTAATGTACACTACTTTTTGTCATTTTTTTAAAAAGAGGCGTGGACGGAGACGACGACAACACGACTCAGAAACTGTTAATGTGTGCAGGATTTTAAAAAGGACAACAGAAATTAAAAACCGGAGTGTACTGTACAATTCGTATTATATTTTATTATATATTGATTATTTGCTGTTTTTTTTACTCCAAGTATCATTTCTTTTATCATTGTTGGTATTGTATGGGTGGGAGGGAACGAGTTGGGGGGGGGACTATCTTTGTAAAACAGCGGGATGAGTATATGTATCGATGTGATATTCTTTTGCCCCCTCCCTGTTACCCCCTTTTACCTGCTCCCTCATTGACACAGTTATGCCCCAATTTTTTGTAACAAGCGTGTACACATAGTTCATTACTTAGGTCCTGTCCAGACGTGTTCTTTTTTTTTTTTTTTTTTTTCTGTAAAACTAAAACAATATTATTACTAAATTACTATCCTTTTTCTTTGCCTAAAGTGAGTTGTTGAAAACCCTCAAATCAAATAAAAAAAAATAAAAATCTGAAATGTTTCTGTCCTCTGTTGTTAATGTGGCTCCCTCATTGGTAGTGAGACATAATGGGGAATATAGGTAATGTAATACACTGTAAGGCTCAATTTAAACTCAAGTTAATTCATTTTATTATTGGAATTGAGCCTTTTTATACACAAATCTGACATTTTTGGATGTTCAGCAGTGTAATGAGAGACTATCTAAGTGAATTAATTCATTAGAAGGCGACTAATTAAACACAGTCTCTGTTAATATTAAGTTACATGGTTCTTTCCAGGAAACTTCTTGGTAAATATTAAGATAATATTCAGAAATTACAGCTTTTTTTATAAAAAAAAAACCTCCATTAAGAGGTGACAAATAAACACAGGTCTCAATTAGAGTTCTGGTCTTTATAGAAGTGGATTTTCTAGGAGTTTTATGGAGGTATAAAACCTCTTAAAGCCCACCCAGTCGCCCACTCGAGCGAGTTCTAAGCCGCTTACATCGCCTCCACAGAAATATAAACGTCTAACCCTTTAGTCAGTATGGACGTCCTACACACAGGAACCATGAGCTCCAAAGGATCAGATGAGTGATTTGTAATTGATATGTTATCTGATAGCAGTTGGAACAGCAGCCACCAGAAAGAGGAGCTCACCTTCATCCAGTAAAGTTCTTCTACAAAGGTTCAACTGGGTTCATTGTGCTGTTAGATGCATGCTATCTTGGCAGATGCTGCTCCAGAGGTTCAATATCAGCTTCCCCCTCCTCTTTCATGTGGCTGTCTAACCACAGTAGTGAGTTCATGCTGGTTCAACCCAACCACACACACACACACACACACTTTCTGACTTCCCTCCAGTGGTTTGTAACCATGCAGATGGCTGTGAGTTGATTAGCTCAGGTTTTTTGTTTCTGACGTTTCTGCCTGCAGCCGAATACACAACGAAGGTGAACAGAACTGTTCTCATGACAACTACCTCCTTACCGGAGAAATAGTCCCAATATCATCACTGTTGACAGCTTATTTTTCACGTGGGCGAACTTTGATTCAGATAAAAATCATCACTGGTGGGAAAAAAACTCCCAAATCTGATTTTAAACTTTAATTTACTTTCAGCTTTAGAAAGAAAATACATTTTCGTATATATTTCACAGTTTAAAAATACAAAATATATACATTTCTAAAAGGTTTTATATCCTATCCTCCTAAAATAGCTGAATTTTTATAGTTAAATAGTCGTATTATGGTGTTGAGCAGGATTTAGATCTTTTACAATAACACAGAAATACTCTGATATAAGTAAAAGTTCTGCATTTAAAAATTATAAAAAAAGCACAAAAGTATTAACATCAAAATGTTCTTAAAGTACCAAAAAGTAAAAGTACTCATTTAGCAGAATTTCAGAATCATATAAATGTTATTGATTATGATTTTTAATGTGCGCATCACTTTAATGTTGACGCTGGTAAAAGTGACATGTAACAGTTTAATTTATATGATATTTTATACATATATTACTTTATATACTTATAGCTTATAAATGTCCCTCCTGGGGGTCAATGAAGTCTGTTTATATAACAATAAACATAATTTATTTGTTTATTTGTATCATTAATCTGAATCTGTACAGTATCTCGGAGTAAGTGGAGCACAAATATTCCCTGTGAAGTGCTGTGGAGTAGAAACAGACTCTACAGGTGCCTCACATACTCCAGTGAATGTACTCGGTTTGGTAAAATGCTGCTTTTGTTTGGCGTTTAAAGGATCTTGGATCAGATATTCTCAACATGTTTTCACACTGAGACACAGCCTCCCTTAGAACAACTCGTCTGTTTCCACCAACCTTCCTCTGAGCTGTGGCCCCCGTCAGCTTCCAGCACTAACAGGATATAAATGGTCTCCTGCTATCTAACTCCGACCCCGAACCACAACCTCCATCCCCTCGGAGCTTGTTTCACATAATTAATCCACTGTGTATATTTTTATCCGCCCTTTTCCTCCCACTGGGGGGAGGAGGGGGGACGCTGAAGTGGTTCCCTCTCTCTGACACATGGAGCCTGCCCCCCCCCCACACACACACACACAATAAGAGCAGACGTTGTGAGAGCTGCAGCTCGGCGTACGTCAGTGTCAGGAGGTCAGGTGTTGTGCACCTGGAACCCGCAGCCAGGTGAGTGGAACTCAACCATGTACTCATTTACTTCAGTACATATTCAAGGTACTTTATTTGAGTGTATAGTACTGTATACTTCCATCCCACTGCACCTCAGAGGCTAATCTTGTACCGCTACTTACCTTTCAGATTACAATCTCTCTCCTACTCTTTCTGTCCAGTGAAAAACCATCTCCACCTTCTGTTCCTGAGAGGCTAAATAAAGTATTTTAAAAACCCTCCTGGGTCAGCTGAAAGACTGAGACTCGTGGGTTCCCGTAGAACCCATTTTCATTCAGGTATCTTGAGGTCAGAGATGAAGGGATCTCTTTGAAAATGGACGTGCTAGTTTCTGGAGAGTTGGTGGAGATACCACTAACGTTTGGACCTATTTGACCTATAACACAGCCATTAGGACCAAACATGTCAGGCTAGCGTGTCGTAGAGAGGGGGGGGTTAAATAACGCTCCAAAGATGCTGTTACTGTGTATCGGGTCGATTTGGGTTCAGTGTACAGTTTATCAGTTGTTCTGTGCTGTTATTGTGCATTGAATATAATATAAAATATCCATTAAATATGTCACTTGGTGAGGGGTTGCCAGTTTCCTCCATTCCTTATTAGTTCCCCCTCTCTTTGTTCATTACTGCTAAAAACTGAGCTTTTTCCCGCCTTCTGGAGGGCGGCATGACAGGAAACGTTTGAGTACCACTGCTTGAAAGGGCCCAAACCATGCCAGCAAACTGCCCCCCCCCCAGAGCATAACTAGAAAGCCACTGGATCCCCTCAGTGTCCCCTCAAGCATTCAGGCCTGCACCGCTCTCTGGCTGCACGCCACACAACGCACTCGTGGAGAAGGGGGTTATTAGGGGTAACACCCCGAATCCACTGCACCTGCTCGGCATGTTTATTGCCTAACTGCACCGAGCAGTGGCTGCATCCAGTATGTTTCTCCTCATTTTATTTTAGTACTTTTCCCTTTAATTTCTCACCTGTAAAAGCAGCTTTGGTGCCACTTTGGTTGCTGTACTGACAAACGACCACTAGATGGAGCCATTTAAACACACTTGAAGCGATGGCTGCGTCTCAAGGCTGCAGGAAAAGGAATCAGGGGGAAATAATCTGAATTCAAAACAGCTCATGAAACTCGAATCACACATTAGTGGCGTCAAGCTGTTGTTTGTCACTCCCCCCCCCCCCAATGCATGCCAGCGTACGCACTCTCTCTCGCCAGCGTGTGAGTGACAGAGATTATTTTGGCCTCTTACTACTGGCACATTCCTGTCATGTATGCAGTTTGACAGCACTCTGTCACCAGAGAGGACTTGCAGGCTTTTCCAGGTCCTTTCCAGGAACTGTTGTTCCCACAGTGCAGCTGCTGGCGTCTGATTCATGAATCAACAGGAAACACATGATGTGGCTGTGTGTTTATGTGTGATTTACTCCTTTATTTCCTGTACAGGCCGTTATCATTGATGTTTTAGCTTTCAGATGGAGGCCAAGAAAAAAAACATGAACTACTTTTTAATGATTTATTTTTATCAGAAGGATTTTTTTTACAGAGTAATCCTAAAAAAAAGACCACCGACAGGATATATGCATGCTGTGTGGCTTAATAATAAAAAGTAAATACAGTTATCAGTACAGATAATATGTACTTTACAAGGCATAGTTAGTTAAAACAGCGAAAGGGAGGTGTGTTAATATTGACTGTTACATTATGCTGCTATTAACAGGTGAATAAATAGTGATAATTACATAAAAGAGTGAAATAAAGAGAAGCCACAGGCACAATAACAGCAAGGCAGCAATGAAAGAGGCCTAATATTGACTTTACACACACAAGAAAACATTTAAATAAAGATAAAATATAAAGATAGAGCCACTATAAAGACAGAGACTTCAATAAGTGAGTGAAGAAACGTACAAAATGTGACATTTAATTATATTTCTAATGTGCAAGATACACACGTTATTCTCACTATCCGGGTTCAGGCATTTAACACAATCTGTCAGGTTTATTCATCTTTTAATAGCGCTGCAGTTTTAAATGCAGTTTTGAATTCCTCTGAGTGTCTTGCAGTGCTGACTGTATGGATGTGAGTAGTTTATGATAAAGAAATGATCTTTGCTGCAGCCTTTAAAAGCACTAATCCACACAACCCCCCCCCCACACACACACACACACACACCTCCCTGTCACGCGGCTATAGCATGGGGAAACCTGTGGGCGGAGACTGTGACCTATTTTTAGCCAATGGGAGGCCGGGAGACGCAGCGAGTGACCTAGTTTCAGCCAATCACAGCGCGGCAGACTCACCGGTAGGCAGCAGTCGGCGCGTGCCGGAGCCATGTGCTTTCTCCGGTGTTTGAGAGCGCGAGAGGGAGATAGGGACACACCGGGGAGGAAAAACAGACGGTTCCTCCCCCCCCACCCTCCCCTCCCTCCCTCCTCCCCCTGCCTCCCCTCTTATTGTGTTTATGTGCTTTCATACAATTAAACTAACAAATTGTTTCTGCATGAAAAAAAAAACAAAAAAAAGAAAAACCGTTTAATTGATCTCCAATAATCGATTCTGAAGTCGCCTCGTGCAGCAGGTAAACAAACAACATGGAGGTTTGAACTGTTTTCACTGTCAGTGTGTAGAAAACTGGACAAAATGGCAGCTTCATGGCGACTGTCTGTCCGCTCACATGTGAACACCTGACCCCCCCCACACACACACACACACACACACACACACACACACACTCTTTATCTGAGCTGCTTATTCTGTCACGTTGGTGGTAAAAAAATAATCACATTTTCCCACATTTCTTAGATAAAGCAGCCGGTGGGGGTGCTGTGTGTGGCTGGGGTTTGGGTAGGGGGGGGCAACAACAACAACAACAACAACAACAATAACAACAACAATAACAAAGCAAACGCCTCAGCAGCAGAGTCACTCTCAGGCTGCGGTCAGGTTGTTTTGGCCTCGTTGTGTAAAATGACAGCGTGAGAGCAGAGGGGAGAGGGGCGTGGTGCGTTCAGGGGTCCATCCAGAGGGGGGAGGAAGGGGGGGGAGGAGGGGGTGCTCAGCCATTGGACGAGGCCGCCGCGGAGGTGTTGCGTTATATGCAAATGTGTGCTGCGTTCAGGTACCAGCCCGGAGCGACTCCTGCAACAGTTTTTCACTCAGAGGAAAGAAGATTTGTCAGCCTTCATTTTTATTGATTAATGAATGAGAAATACTTTATTGATCCAAGTTACTCACACAGTGTTAAATAATGTAAATAATACGTTAAATGTATTAGAGAGGTATCTATAAGTATAACAAACAAAAATAAAATGGAAATATAAATATAATACTGGTATGTCTGTGAGACTAATGATCTTTATGGAGACACGTTTGGAAAGAATTGGTGTTCACTTGACCTTGTTTTGGATCTTTGGCTTACAATTAAATGTCTCTTTTATTTAATGTTGCTCAGAATATGTCTGTTACACAGCTATGATTTATTAGATCTACTGAATCTGGTGAGAAAATAAACATTGGTGCTCCCTGGTGGGTACCCTGTTGTGTGTGCCTGTGGCCTTGTTCTCCTCTCTCTCTCTCTCTCTCTCTCTGTCTCTCCCCCCTTTCCTGTCTCCCTTAAGCTGTAATACAAAATAAAGGCATACAAAGTAGCCCAAATAATGATAATTTTAAAAGAGAAAAAAGAAGATTGTTGAGGCAGCAATAACAAATATTAATGCTTTAAACAGGGTTTGACTTCACTGGATGTTTATCTGTGCCGAGGTAATGAAAGACTGACTGACTACACTCTGTTCTGTGGCTGCAGCTACAGATTCATTCATGATTAATCAGCCAATTATTTTCTTGACTTTTGTCTATAAAATGTTAAAAATACACGAGGAATTCCTTTTATAATTTCCACAACCCAAAGGAAACATCTTCTCTGACTGACACCCAGAGGTTTTAGTATCGTACTGTCATTAGATTAGATTCAACTTTATTGTCATTGCACAAGTACTAGTACCAGACAACAATCATACAGCAAAGAAAACAGAGAAGCATCAAAGGTTTGTTCTGTTTGCTTAATAAATCATTATTTGCTTTGTTATTTTTCTCTTGTTGCAGCTGTGTCCTGATCAATCTGAATGATCTCCACCCAGATGAACATGGCTTGGTTCGCTGGTTCAAGTCCAGTATGGAGTTTGAACCGGTAGCTGGAGCGATGCCCCCTTGAGCAAGGCACACTAATTGCCCCTGAAGTGCTGGAATATGGCAGCCCACCAGACATGTTTCATGTCTCTAAGCCCAATGTGTAAACACAGAGGGAGTTAATACAGTATATCCCCCTCCTCTTGTTCTTCATTGTTTACCTGCAGGAGCAATAGATTATTTTAGTTGCCTACCGGATAAATAAACTTGTTTTTACTTCATTTGTGTTTTTGATATTTACGTGGAAGCTCATATTTACCAGCTTTTCTCCGTGCGCCGTGAACGCCGACCAGTGGATGTAAAGCGAAGGAGGGGGGCGTGGCCTCGGTATGCAAATGATCCACGCCCCCAAAGCCCCTGTCTCCCCCGTGAGCGCTGACGTCACACCCGCGGCCCGTGTTGGTTCCAGCTGACAGAGAGAGAGAGAGAGAGAGAGAGAGAGAGAGAGAGAGAGAGAAAGAGAGAGAGAGAAAGGGAGGGGAGAGAGAGAGAGAGAGAGAGGGAGGAAAATAAGAGCCATCAGTCCCATCTATCTGACTCTACTGGATATTATTATTTTTTGGGGGGGATCTTCTTTATTTCCTTCATCTTATATTTTCCGCTCATATTTAAACCAACTTTATTATTTGGTGTCTCTGAGACTCGATCCTCTTCCCGCACTCATCGCATGGGACGACAGACATCCGCCTTTATATCTGCTTTTATTTCTGTTGCTCATGTTTCTCCCTCCGGACTAACAGAATATAATATATAATCTATATATATATATTATCCTCCGAGCGATCAGCCGACGGACGGACGCACCAGCGGACCCGGACCCGAACCGTGAGCCACCGTTTTTATTTTAATCTCCACAAACTCTCTAAAAAAAAAGCAGAAACCGGGACTTCAGTCCTCCAGGATCCGGTCTTCCTGTGTCGGAGCTGAGTTAGTGAACTCCCGCAGGCTCCGCCGGTTCCGAGAGGATGAACTAGACTCGGTCAACATGGTGCCATTTTGGAGATAAGTCCCTCCACACACACTCCCCCCCCCCCCCCCCCCAAACCCCCCTCCCCCTCTCCCCTTGAAGTCCTTTTTTTATTTCGCTTCTTTTTGCACATTATCCTTCATGGGACGGGAACACCAGAGGGACGTCAGGTGGAGATATTGAGCGCGCGCACGCGTCACCTGCCCGCGCACCTTTTTGACAGCGCGCCTGTCAATTAGCGTCACTAATTGGATTATATCGATCTTGAACTCAACCATCTGCAGGTTGCTCCTCTGCACCTCCTTCTCTCCCCCCCCCCCCCCCCAGCTCCCCTACCTCCCCTAAAGTTATGTCAAGGCCCCTCGCTCAGCTTCTACCGCCGGATCTCCCTGCCGGGGCCACCAGCCCCCAGTTTGGGGCCAGTAACCCGGCTGGAAGTGGCCCCCAAGGTGGACACCTGACCTCCATGACCAACCTGAAGTCCCTGCTCCAGCTGCCAATCAAGGCCGACCAGAGAGGCACCAAGGACTGCTGCGAGATGAAAGGTGAGCGTGTGCACGTGTTTGTGTGTCTCTCTCTCTCTTGTGTGTGTGTGTGTGTGTGTGTGTGTGAGAGGTCCCTATAGGCAAGAAGAAACTTCTTAAAGGGCTAGTAAGGAAAATACCTCAGCCAACAAGTAGGAGTATCACAGAGAACTGTACTGTCCTATAAGCTCATTAAAATGTATAATGATACAGTTTCATTCAGTTAATGTTAATGTATGCTGTATGAGATTAAAAGAATCCACATTAAATGCATTAAAGATGGTTTAAACCTTAAATTAACCCTATAAATGCACCTTAGAGACATTTGAAGCAATATTATAGCAATATTTCAGTGATATAATGTGAAATAAAGCTAAAACTACAAGTTAATTCATCAATAAGTCGATTAATCAGTAAATATTTGGATAATAAATACATTTTTTTACATTTAAAAAGTAAAAAGGCTGGAAATTCTTTGGTTCAAGCTTCTCGAATGTGATCATGTGCTGCTTTTATTGCTCAAATAGGACATTATTATGTGTCAGCTGGTGCTCTGGGACGTTATAATGAGCAGCAGATTAATCAATAATCAATAGTTGCTGCCCTGATATGAAACACAAACAATAAGTGCATTCATTACAGCGCCTGTACTCCAGCCATACAGTGATTATTCATCGGTGTGTGTGTGTGTGTGTGTGTGTGTGTGTGCATGTGACTGAGTGGGTAGGTGTGATTGTAAAAGACAGAGGCCCTGCTTATCCACACACACACACACACACACACACACACACACACACACACACACACTTCAGCCTTCCTCCTTCTGGCCCACTGGATTGTTTTTTTTTTGTCTATGAAACGTTTCCTTTTTGCATTTGGTGGTGAAATGAAATGATCAGGAGGAAGAGGAGGAGGAGGAGGAAGAGGAGGAGGAGGAGAGGGTTTAAAAAGGAGAGCACACACACACACACACACACACACACACACACACACACAATCTGGAGTGGATGCCATCAGAGTACAGCAGCAGTTCGTTTGTGTGTTTGAATCTGTTTAAATAAAGGTTGGGATTGAATTGTTTCCCATCCACCAGCTGCCATGACAAATATTAACCAGGCTGCCTCTCCTTCCTCTCTGGCTGTGGGGATGTTATAACTCCCAGTCAGCTGCTGTCACACACACACACACACACACACACACACACACACACACACACACACACACACACGTTTTAACTTCTATTAAAACCCTAAAATAAAGACATTTCTGTCGCTAAAGAGTCGAAGCAACTGAACACCGAGAGACAGAAAAACAAAGCAATCACACAGTCTAAGTGCTGGTGGGGGCCCCTGGTGGCCTGTCGGTGTAACTGCAGCTCCTTTCTCTAGAGGAGGAGGAGGAGGAGGAGGAGGAGGAGGAGGAGGAGGAGGAGATGATGGTGAGCTCAGCTGACAGGCTCACCATGGACTCAGAAAGCAGCTCAGAGGCCCCGGCTAGCCTCATTGTCAGCGGCCTATAGAGCGCGCAGCCTCCCAGTGATAGGTGATGCATTCAGGGGTGTTAAAAGAGATGTTGTGATGTTTTTTTTTGGCTCTCTCGATCCCCCCCCCCCCGTTCCACAGCGCAGAGTCGGTGTTTCACTCCTTCGCCCTCCTGCTTTTTTCCCCTGGCTGGCTTTGTTTGACGCCTTCACAAACACCCACTCTATCTAGCACATCTCTCTCTCTCTCTCTCTCTCCTTTCTCTCTTGTCTGTCGTTCTCTCACACGTCTTTGAGTTTTTTCCTTTCAGTCTTCCTCTCTCTCTTCGTCCCTCTGCTGATTTACATTTTCTAAGGCTTTTGTCTCACCTCCTGCTCCTCTTTTCATCCTCCTCCTCTTCCTCCTGCCCTTTAAGGGATCTCCCCATTTGTTGAAGCCTGCAGGTGTCAGGAGATATTTTATTATTTTAAACATGTGTGCATTGAAATGAATAACTTGTGCCTTCATATTAGTAATTTATACTCTCAACTCACTTCATTGTCTTGGATCAGCTGTCGGGTTGCTGCGGCAGGAGCGACGTTACAGGTTGTTGTGGCTGGCGTTAGTGGCCGGCTGTCAGCTGTGAATTCATTCCTTCCTTGTTGATATTGTTTCCCTGGTCCTCTCAGCACAGCTTTTATACAATTATGATGTTACACAGTGAGGCTGTTATCTGCTATCTGCTGGGTTCATGCACCACTTTGTAGCTGTATGCCGTGCACAATGAACAGTGGATGAGTTGGACATTAGATGACATGGAAATATTAATCAGTCATTTGTTCACAATCTGTAATTACCTTTAGTTTCCGTTATCTTTGCCATCTTTTCACTCGTCTCTCTTATTGTCTACTTTCTTTACAATCAAACACTAACTAAAATACGGAGTTTGCTGATGTCGTGAAGCAGCGTGGGATCATGGGAGTTGTTGTCTTCACCACCATTATTGTCAACTGCAGTCAGTTTCTCCCGGTTAGGATTCCTTCAGTGTTCAGGAGGTTTTTGTCTGCCAAAGTTTCAGAAACAACCCGCTGATTAAAACTAGTAAAATCACTGAATAAAGCAGTTCCACTTTAAAAATCTGTGTTTCTCAGACGATGTTCAGCAGACAAAGAGCGTCCCGGAGGGGCCACGAGCCGAGCTGCTGCTAACGTTAACTCAGCTTGTTTCTCTGATAACTTAAGATCCAGACGTCAAATGACTAAAATCCTTCATCCGGTTCAAATATAGTCAAAAATAACCAAGATTTATAAAAGGTTTTGTAAAAAGAAAGTTGATTGAATGCAGCTTTTGGCAGACAAGAACGCTCAAGCATGTGCAAAGACAATATGACGCCATTGAGGACCAATGAAACACTGTTTGAACACTGTTGGCAACATTTAGGATAATGTAAATACACAACACAGTATCTATAGTAAGTCTTATAGTCTAATAGGTCTATTGTGTTTAGACATTTTAATGCGGAAATATACCAAAAAAAACCTTCAAAATATCACAAAAAGGTTTCTAAGATTTGGTGGGAAAGTTGGTGTATCGATAAAAACCCAACTGAGGAAAGAGCCATCAATGGACACTGAGGCAGTGATTTAGAGGTCTGGATTTGGACTAAATGTCTCCCACACTTTCAAAAAGATGAGATTTGTATCAAGCGAATCCTCTGGATCGTTCAGTTAATACCGCTGTTTCCGTTCTGTCCGTCTTCTGTCCTTCTTTCCCTCCCCTCAGTATCCACTCCATGGAGCAAAGAACAGACATTTAACAGAAGCTGGCAGGCAGATGAGGAAGATGATGACAGTAGAGAGATTATGAGGGACATGAATATGATGGCCTTGACTCTCTGCTCCATCCCTCCTCTGCTGTTTTCACGTTGTAATCCCTCTTTATGTTCTTTAATCCCTTTAAATTTAAATTTCCGGCCTTCCTGATGCTCTCTCTCAGTCTTCCACTTGTTCTTCTCGTTCTCATTACTCTCTCTTTCTCTGCCGTTCCCAGCCCAGTTAAATATGCTCTTTTATTACTATTTTATTGGCTTTTATTATTCAGCGTGCCATTTATTCAATATGCACTTTTGGAGGCATAATTCTTTAGAATAATATTATCCAAGGATGAGGGTACAAAACAATCACTCTGGTTCTCTCCGTGCAGCGCTGCGATTAAATCTGGTTCCTGGTCGACTTGCAGGAATTTCATTTATTTTGCTGGTGATGGTTTATTGATGCCTGATGTCTATATCTATCTTTCCATCAGACCCCCCTCCCTGCCTGGGAGGTCAGAGTGCAGGGTCAGCCAAGTCAACTTTATTTATAGATGCCTTTTAATGATTGCAGCTAAGTGCTTCACAGAGAGCAAAGGACACAAACGCCCGACAGAAAGCGCAGACCTCAGCCGGTGTTTATCAAACAGCAATGCAGCCCTCTGGAGCTCTCTGTTGATTGTTGTCGGTCTTTTAAAATGATTTTCTGACAGAGTGAGAACAAGATAGACACGATTGTGATGCAGCTTAGCGTTTGAGCTCCAGCTGAAGACGTTTCTTGATCTCACAGATGTGGATCACATCGGGAAACAAAGCGAGGTGTCAGTCAGACATCAGCCCAAAGAGGCAGAGCTTGTGGAAACAAATGTCCATTTTGTAGAGTAATGCACTCCGGTCATCCTTCGACACGTCTCGTGATGCGTTTAAAGACACAGTGAAATACAATATCCTCTTCTTAGATGTAAATATGTGTATATAACAATCATTTTTGAGTATTTTTATATGAAAAAACCCCTCTTTATTCTCTTCTAAAATGGAGAAATATTCCTTTAAAAGACTAATCTTGAGCTCGGTGGTGGTGACATTTATGCATCCAACATCCAAAGAATGTGGCTGAAGGCTAATTTATTCATTTCACCTTCACCCTCCACTTCCTAACCTAAACAATGAATTAAACTTTTAATTTGTAAGAGAAAACAGTTGTTATGTCTCCATAAGGTAACACAGGGTCCAGAGTTTAACATTTAGGAGGCTGTATTGTAAAGTGTGGAGGAGAAACTACGGTGGCTGAGACAATAGATCCTCCTCACTGTTACACACTGGTCCTTTAACACACACTGGACGCCATAAACAGACTTTATCTAAATATGTATCTGCTGGAATATTTCCCAGTAATCAATCTGCATGAAAACTTCTCCACAAGTGCAGCAAATTATTTATATCGTCACACACGTTGTCCAGTGTGGAAATGGCATGAAATGTTTTTTTTTTAATGTACGGTACATACAAACATCAATAAACCACCACCAGTTTGAGACTGACAGTTTCAATACAGTAAACAAATGAGACCATAAATGAGGTTAATCAGCGTCTCTCTCTGCGGTGAGAGTCAATCTGCTGGACTGTCAGAGTGGATATCGGACGTTATCAGTTCTTATCTTTCCTTTTGCCCTTTAACACAAACACAGGGGGGAAGGGGAGGAGGAAAAGTTTAATTACCCTCTCCGATCAGAAAGAGCTTCTCAAAACATTCCTCATCCTTCCCTCCCTCCAGACAAAGACAAGCCCGTGGACTCTGATGAGGACTCAGTGGGGGTCAACGCCGGAGGCCCCGCCGGTGCGGGAGGAGCCCCTGCGTCCGGTGCGTTGCGGCCCAACTCCCAGTCGGCCTTCCTGGGCCCGCTGCTGTGGGAGAGGACCCTGCCGTGTGATGGAGGCCTGTTCCAGCTGCAGTACATGGACCTGGAGGAGTTCCTGACCGAGAACGGGATGGGGATGCACAGCAATGGGCCCAGCTCCACCAGCGCCCAGATCCCTTCCCAGGTGAGACTGATAGAGAGGTAAAACACATGCAAACCTCACCCAAACCCCCCAAACCTCAGCCCCTTTCAAAATGAACACCCAACTCCTTTATGGAGGTAAAAACTGTTTAAATGTCACTCACTGCATTCAAATATTTTCCCCCCTCTCCTCCCAGAGCTCCCAGTCGGCGGTGCCCAACCAGAGCTCCCAGTGCCCTCCCACCTCTCCTCCGCCCTGCTCCTCCTCTTCCTCTTCCATGTCCTCCTCGTCCTCCTCTTCCTCGCTGCTGGGACTGGAGACCGTCCAGCCGCAGCCGCCGCCACCGCCGCCACTGCCACCTCAGCAGCAGCCGCCAGGCATGATGGGAGGACCTGAGTGTCTACACGGTGAGTGAATGTGAACATCAACAGAGGGCTGGGAAGAGATTTTAAGTGCAGTTTTATTCCATTTTAACCCATTTAGATGAACATTTGATTGAATTTTTCACAAGTTAATACTTTTTCCATGAATATTTTACTTTATCCGTCACTCGGAGCTGGTAAGAGAAGTATGTAGGGATGTATGGAAACTTTCTGGTGAGAAATCAGAAAGTTTTTCTCACTGTAGTTCCTGAGAAGTTGATGGCGAGATTAAAATTGACATCGTCACGTGAGAACATTTGTGCACCAGCAAATGCAGTCAGACATATATGAGGCTGTACATGCAGAGGCCTTAATGGGATCTGGCACTAATGAGCACACAGACTCATGATACATTACATTAACTAACCCAGTTCAACCACTGGACTCCTTCAACAATAACCAAAGGAGGGTCTTCTCTAATTATCTCTCTGATAAACGGCTGACACCCCGTTCGGCTCCCTCCAACAGCTTGTTTTTTTCATCCGTTATATATTCATAATTTATTGTTTCCTCTCTCTGCTGCTTTTTTGATGTGAACCAGAACTGCCAGAACATCAGAAGAGCTTTTCTGTCTGTCTTTCTTTTATTTTTTCTTTCTGTTCGAGATTTCATAAGGCTGACAACTTCCAATTCTAATTGAAACCACAAAGCCCATTCTTTATAACGCTGACTGCCATGTTTTTTTTATCCTGTGAGCCATCGAATGAATCATCCCAGCTAATTTCATGATGATTTATTGATGACAGATTGCCACATGTCTTTGTAAATGTTTGGCGGTTGTATAGACATTTAAAGGAAGGTTGAGACAATGAGTGCTCGAGTGTGTGGTGTATTGACGATGTGTGGACGCAGAGGAAGAGACAAAACTTCGTTATGAATATTATCTCGACATTGAGTCGTCATTGGATTGAACCAACTGAAAGAGTGTGTTCGGACTGTTTGATCAGATTGGACCCATTTAAGAGAGGCGGGGCTGTGATGCTTCTTTACACACCAGTGGGCAGAATTTAAAGATCTGAATCTCTTCAGATCTTCAGAGTCTTGCTAGGAACGGTCACGTGAGAATAATGTTACAGTCTCTCATGTAATCTGTTGTGTTTACTCTCATAGGAGACTGTTATTTAAGTGCCTTCTGCCGGGCAACAGGTTTACAGCGCTGAAATGGCACAGAGGCTCGATTAATGATAAATGACTGTGGAACTAAAGTCCTTGTAATATGCAAGCATGCAGTGGATTAGTAAAGTTTAACCTGCGGTCACTGGTTTTTTTGTAAACTGTAAACAGAACATTCACATATTATTACCTTATAAAACTACTACATTAGTACACAGTCACCCTTTTACACATCATACACACATAAGGAGCAACATTAGCATTTATTTGGAGTCATGTTTTTACCCACCCGAGCAAGTATAAGTACATTTTGTTCTCGGCTAACTCCTGAGGGAAATATCTGTCTCTTTAGTCGCTAGATGCTGCTAACTTTGTCTTTCTGCTATTTGGGTAGTAGGTTTTATATTAAAGAGCTATTTCACTGAAAATAGTTTCCTGATGGTTGGTTGGAAAACCAAAACAATAAGCTGAAAGATGCTAAAAGAGCTTAACAGTCACTTTATCTAGTGTTAATACAAATATATTGATTAGAGCAGCTTTGCTTAATGTACACATGTACAACAACAAATGATGACATGAAGACAAAGAAACAACAATGTTTGAGCCTCTATAAAATGTAAACAGGTGAGTTATATAGAAACTCACCCCCCTGTAAAGTGGTCTGAAGTGGCTGTAAACATGTTTATTTCTGCTGTAATGTTTAATATGGGCTCTTCTGGAGAATGACTCACTTCTGGAGCCAGCCTCAAGTGGCCGTTTGAGGGACTGCAGTTTTTGGCTTCATTTGTAGCCACCGAGGTTGCGGCTTGGTGTTTTGATGTGTGTAAACGCCATTGTTTGTTTGTGTAACTGAAGCTATGGGATTCTTACACTGTAACTGACACTAGCATCACTTTATACACAGGCTCGATATATAAAGGTGGACCCACCTGCTGGGATGTTAACCGGATGCGGCTCCTCCCGCTTTGTTGTTTGACACATTGTTTAGACAGTGTCACCTGACTGGGTCACTGCTGTGGGAACAACTCGACACAAAACTCAAGGGACTATGCACTTCATATTTTCATAGCGGTCTTTTTGACAACTCATGGCTTTCACAATATTTGCATTCCTTTAATACATTATGTAGTATGCAGAGTTGTGTACGCTACGAGCAGAGAGAGTAGAACAGAAAGAGGCAGAAGGAGAGATAAAGTGCCCAGCAGGATCTCATTCTGAGAAATCTGACTGGAACATTGTGTTTGTCTTTTTTATTCGGTGTCGTAAACAATAAAGGAGAAGATCTTTCACTGCGAAAAAGAGATGCAGAGTAGCTTGAAGGAAAAAATAAAATAAAATCAGAAAAAAATAACTGTCGGAAAATGAGACGGAGAGAGGAGAGAGATGCGAGAAAGAAAGCAGGATAGAGCTGCTACAGAGGAGCGAATACCACTGGATACTGCTGCAAGGCTCTGAGTGTGTGTGTGTATGTGTGTGTGTGTGTGTGTGTGTGTGTGTGTGTGTGTGTGTGTGTGTTCCTATCTGCCTGAGTGCCTCTGCAAGTCTCCATGAATATACACCATCAGTGTGTGTCTGTGCAGTACGCTGAACTTCAAACATGCATATGAGAGTGTCCTCTTTATTTCGGCATTTGCATGCAAACTGTTTGGGTTTTAATGTGAGCATGCTCTTGTGTGTGTGTGTGTGTGTGTGTGTGTGTGTGTGTGTGTGTGTGTGTGTGTGTGTGCTCTTTATTCTAAATTATAAACACGTGACTGGGTTGAGCATGATGCATCCAGCCAGAAATCCCTCAGGTCGCTGTAGAGCTGAAGTGTTACTACAGAGAGGGAGGGAGAGAGAGAGACAGAGAGAGAGAGAGAGAGAGAATCAACCAGAGAAATAAATGGAAAATAAACAGGTTCTAATAATCTGATCCACATGCATGTTTGGTTTCATTTTAATTCATTCTGGGCAAAATGGACAGCTTGGAGGGGGAGGCAAAACACAAACAACCATGGATGAAGCTGTGGTTTTATAAGTCGCTTTGATAACAGTTTCCCTCTGTTTGTTGTGTAAATTTGTGATGATGCAAACTGAGGTCTGTAGCTGAAAGTGGACAAGACTAGCGGACGTACGCTGCATAGATAAAAGTGTACGAGCTGGACACAGATATTCTGTTTTTCCTTACCTCACAAAACCAGACTTAAACCCAGAAAGCTCAGTATTTGCTACAAGAGATATCAGCCCGACAAAACCTCCTCTGAGAATCAGCTGAGCCGAGGAGCTAGAGGAGAACGGCGCTTTGATGTCTTTCTCTTTCTCTCGAATCCCCCAAACATCACGAATGAAGCTTATCATTTGCAGTTTCCCCTTGATTTCAAATGCAATACTTGGATTTTTTTATTGTCCTATTCGTTTTAGCTGTGAAATAAAACACAGCTCTCTACCTGCATGGCTTATTTCTCAGGAGTATAGATGTTCTTTTTAGGTAGTTCAGAGGAAATTTCCAGAACGGTCAGTTCTGCTTTTGTCCCTTCTGCTTGCATGAAGCGATCGTGTTGATATTTTAGTAAGTGAAGGAGAGAATTTGGGAGGTTGAAGTCTGTACTGTAACACTCACTAATGATGCTAAACTGGCAGAATTCATTAGAAGTTAAAGAAAGACCGCTGTGACATGACTGTGACTTATATTATATAGTCAGATCATTTGTTTCCGTTTCCCCCTAAAGATCAGCCCTTTGTCTTCTTCGGAAAGGAAACGCGAGTCGTCTTTACTTGTAGCTCAGATCAGCTGTTATCGGGCTTCGGCTCCAGCACTTTCAGGTCAGTTCACTCAGTCAGAAACCTTCCTAATCGAAAACAGCTTTTAAACCTCAGATTCCCATGAGCCTCTGCATGCCGGGGGACGCATAAACTCATTGACCTGTGTTTGGAAGGAAGCATCTGCTGCACTAATTTTTCACAGCAATCGCAAAAAAGCGGTCCTTAATGGGGGTGGTGGGGGGGGGTGGGGGGTCACACTTATCGGACTGAAGACCGCAAAGACATTACCGCACGTAAAATATACACGAGGAACAGAATTTCATGAATAAAAAAAGAAATTTTGACTCACTGACGTCAAACGAGTCACCTGGAGAGCAATCCCGAATCTGAATATCCACTCAGTCGTTCCTTAGCCCCGAGGCTGATCTGTCCATGGGAATCTGTACAGCTTTTAAATCCTGCTGACAGACTGACAGTGAAAGCAGAAGTGGTGAAGCTTCAGTGGGAACTACACACAAAAACAAACATGAAAATATGGATTCCATACTTCTACACATTTATGGAAACCTAAAGAGGCAAACAAACCACAGGTTACACACAGCAGCTAAGAAAGGATCTTTTAACTGACGTTTACATTTGATTTGGTGTTACTTATTTATATCCTCGGCTAGGTTTCAGGCCTCTTCTTCAAAACATTTTCAGGCTGATCCAAAGTTGGATCTTCAGTGGGAATGTGCTGATGTTCAGCTGTCAGATGTCTCTTTGCCCTCAAGTCGTCTGTGATCAACCACAGTAACTAAAATGGACTTCAATACCCAGAAATCAAGGGGAATATAAAATTGTCAAGTAGTACGGTACACTCTATTTAAGCTATATTTATATGTATCCACTAGTTCAGACCTTTCGCAGTCATTTCCAAGTCCTGTACAACAGTTTCTATTATCTATTGAGCAAATATGGCCACAATATGTTTGAGGGTTGTATGGAGGGAAAGTCTGAGGCTCTGCTGTCTAGGATTAAAAGTAGACACATGTATGGCACATACAGTCGTTTTAGTCTCATACAACCTAGTTACAGTCTACGTCTGCGAACCATAAATTCAACTGCTGACTGTTAGCTACTCAGGTTAG